ATAGATCAAAATGCCGTGACAGCTTCTAACGTTGCGAGACTCATCCCCCACCTTTTGAAAACATATAATTTCCCTCATTCATCATTTGCAGCGAGCAGGTTTTCCTGAATCAAGTAATTTCGAAATCAGCCCAACTCCTTCAGAGTGGTTCAGAGACTTTTTCGGCGAAAAGCAGCCAAGATGAATAGCCAACGCTCCGACCAGCGTGGGTGGCTCAAACTTGAAGCTAATCGAACACAACCAAACTCAACAAAAGCACCTATCGAACCTTCCCATTCACTTGACTGCAACATTGGTGTTCCCTACAGTGTAACACCTCGTCTGTCGTCCTCAGTCCACTGTTCTACATCCTTATAAAGAAACCCTTTATCAGTTGCCAAGTAGTCGTCACTTTGAATCTGATTCGAGACAGAAAAGAAATCAAAACGTTTTTCCGTGGTTCCTCCCCCTCCAAGAAATCGAAAGCACGTGACCGTGTGTTGTGGAGTAAACGGGCTTTCAAACACGTGATGGAAGGAAACAATCTACTGAGGCTTCACCACACTGATTAACACTCAGGCGGACCTTCGTGAAATTACACTGTACGCCATCTCGCCGACAACACCTGTCCGCGAAAGCCACCAGAGACGCGGAGGGGCGCGGAGCGACCTGGACCGGCAGGTTCCCGGTTTTCCCGCTTGGCGGCGTCCGTTTTGCTGGAGTCGCGAATAGAGCTGGAGGAATAAAATGTAGCTTAAGTACAGACAAAGTAATGACCTGTGAAAGTTGAACAAAAATCGACCTGAGTGACGAGTTTGACATCTTTTTTAGAAAACAATCAAGTTATTAGAAATATCTGAATATATCAAGGGATCTTTATAGTACCTATTAAATGAGAGGAAAAGTTAAAAGGGTGTAGAAAAAACACTAGCGCTAGCAGAGGGTGTCAAACACGCGACCTGCGACGGCAGGCAAAAACACTAGTTTCTGCCACTGCGGCTTCTATGCTTTGTAACTCGAGAACAAACAAAATCTGGGGAACATGCAGTTTGCGCCCTCCTTCATTTGAGAAATTCCCCCAAAGTATATTTTTTTCGTAAAAATTAAAAATGAAACCCTTTTAGCCTGCCTAATTTGAGATGAAACCACCCATATATATATATACCGTAAAATCCTGAATTAACGCCCCCTTTACGCCGTAGATAATTGGCCAAAAAAGTGGGGTGGGCGATCTTTCAGTATTTAATAACCAAAATCACAAAACAAAAATCGAGTAACGCGTGCGTCAAAGCAGCCTGGGTTTCCCTAGCTCTCATCGCTGAAACCGTCAAACGACACATCGCTTTCGCTATCGAAGATTAAATCGCCTCGTCAATGAGGCTCTCGGGATCCTCGGGTCCATTGGTTACCGAAGCCAAACGGTCGTTAGCTCGCCGTCCTCGGAACCATCGAGCCTTGTGGATATTCCGCACCGTTTGAACGAACTCCGCACGGTATCCTCGGAGACGGAGGCCCACGCCTGAGCCACGAAGTCCACAACCTCTTGACGCAACGACTTGCGAAGGTTGCCCTTTGGAGTCACCGAACCTTTCCGGAAGAACGATGCCCAAATTCCACGCAGCGCGTCTTTGAAGGGCTTCATCCATGAGACGTCTGCGGGTTGCAAAATGGACGTGCAACCGCCCGGTATCAAGACGACGTCGGTGTCTTTTGCGTCGAGCGCTTCTCGGGCCGCCTCTGTCTTGCGTATGGGTGCTTGGTCCAGCATGAGCAGTCTCCTCACGTCGTCGGCGTTCGGGCCCCAAACTCTCCTAGTCCACTCCAGTAGGACGGGAGAGGTCATCCAACCGTTCTTGGAAGAAGTAACTCGCACATTTGCTGCAAGTACAACAAGTATAACATGAAATAACAGTTCGGGCCCCAAACGCACATTACACATGCTACGCCGATGAGTGAAGATATGCGAACTGCCCGATTTTATGGCCGAGCGCCGAAGCACACGCAAGTGAGTAAGCTTCGGAAAGCCAGCAAGTCACGCGCCAACTGCTCGTGCGCTCAAGATGGCGCCGGCCAGAACGGCTACGCCATCTTTCGGAAATGGGGCGATACAAAACAAAACGGGCTGTGGCGTTTTGTCAATGGATGACGCAACAGTCGCTCTATTTAAAAAAAAATGCTGTCCTTATTTTTACGTATTTCTAAGGCTTTGTTTCGACATTTATACCCTGAATGGTGATTAATTACAACATACCTGGAATCCGTAGAGAAAAGAGTACTCTGGGGGGAATCCGGCCGGTTGGCTCCTTCAGTACGATCAAAGCAGGTAGCTTGATGCCCGCTGCCGTCGCGCACAAGGCCACCGTCATCCCTCGCCGAGCACAGCCGGTGTTGGCGATGCGAATACTCGACTCGCCAACAGCATTCTTGGTTCTCGCAGCAGGGCAATCCATCCGGACCATAGTCTGATCCATGTTGGCTATGTTGTAGTCCGAGTAGTTGTGCTCCAGGCGCAGAGTTGACACAGCCTTTCGGAACACCGTAATTGCTTCAACGTAGTCGGCAGGCAGCTTCTGACTTTCGTTGGTCCCCACCCGCATAGACACATTAAATCGCTTCTTCCAGTTAGCTATGTACTGGCATGACGCTTGGAAGTTTGCTAGGCCCATCTGTTCTGCCAGTTTCCGCGCATGCTCTTGAAGCAGGCGATTGCTGACTGCTCGACCGGCGGATCTCTCAGTCTCCAGGAAGTCCATCAGTGCGTCGTCGATTTCTTCACTAAAAACGGGTCGTCCCCTACCTATTGCTCTCTTCAACTTGTTCGTTCCATGGCATTGTTGTAGAAGTACTTGGTAGCTCGTATTCCATTCCCGTACACGCTTCCGGTCAACTTCGAAATGGCGCGCAGTCTTGCTCACGTTAGCTCCGTTCTTGCGGTGCCATTCCACGACTTCCACTTTCTTCTGGATGGTATAGCTGGACCTCATCCCGAGTATACACAAGAAACGTCTTCACAGTTTGCTGGTCGAAAGATTTTCTGGGGTTCTCGGGTGATCTGACGACAACCACTAAGTGACCTTCAACGCTTCCCTGATGTCATTCAATAAGTGACCTTGACCGCTTTCCGGGTTCCTTCCGTTATCTTATCTCCCTTATTGTGTGTGGCCTCTTCTTTTTGTGAAGGGAATCCTAGGCTTTCCAAACCTTCTCCCCCTACCCTCCGGCACCTTTCTCAACCTTCGGACATCGCTAATTTTGGAAGGTGGGCGACCTATCAGTATTCGAGGGAAACACGAAGCACAGAATCCCATTGTTGTTGGTCTGACTGTAGATACATAGACAACATATCAACGATTGTTCTTGGCGTGTAAGATGAGCCTTTTTTAGGCATTTGAAGACCTGTTGTAAGTGCGAATCTCTTCGCTGTTCAGAAGCAAAATCTAATGTGGACGTCAAGGAGATTGCCGCGATTGGTGGATTATGATGTGTCGCATGTGCCGTAGAAACAGGATTTCTCGACAGACAATCTGGGGCTTCGTGTTTTTTGCCAGATTTATAAAATATAGAAACGTCGTACTCCTGAAGCTTTAGCGCCCAGCGTCCGAGTCTTCCGGAAGGGTCTTTTAGATTCGATAGCCAGCACAAGGCGTGGTGGTCAGTGATAACTTTAAATGGTCGCCCGAATACGTAAGGCCGAAACTTTTGTATTGCCCAAATCACGGCGAGACATTCTTTCTCTGTAATTCCATAATTCATTTCAGATTTTGATAGCGACCGGCTGGCGTACGCGACAACATGTTCCTTTGAGTCACAGATTTGAATGAGGATGGCACCAACTCCGTAGCCGCTAGCATCGGTGTGAATTTCAACCTCACGAGACGGGTCAAAGTGAGCCAGGACAGGCTGTGTTGTTAGTGCCGCTTTGAGGGAAAGAAACGCCTGCTCTTGGTCTTGGGACCACACGAAAGGGACATTCTTTTTGAGGAGGAATATATATATATATATATATATATATATATATATATATATATATATATATATATATAGTGAACGAAGAGGGGAGAGTGATTATTGAATTTATTGCATTGAAGGTAGGGGTAGGGAAAGAGCTGGCAAAAAATTGGGCCAGGGGCGGCACCAGCTCTTTCCATCTCCCTAACTTTAATGCAATAAATTCAATAATCACTCTCACCCCTATCCGTATTACCGCTGCCTTTGTCAATCTTAATAGTACTTAGTAAAACTACCGGCTAAATTCATCTACAGCGTGAACCACCGTTAATAAAACCTTAGTCCGACCGACCTCTCACTGTGTAAGCGTTCAACGCAACTTGGTTTGTTTCCGTTCGTTTGTGATAAATATACTCAAGGCGTCCGAGAATCCGTAATTATAGCGATTTATAAAACATGTTTGTAAGCTCGATTCTGAGTTCACAAGCAGTGCAACAGTATGACAACCAAGTGGGCGACCAATCGTTACAATCGTTTACGGCATTTTACAAGAAAAAGAACACGCAACCAGCAGCATAGATTTTACATCTTCCCGGGGGGGAGAGGGGCAGGCTGAGAAGTTACCCAGAGGGGGGGCTTTTTCGTGCAATATTTTTTACACCGGCAACTACCAGTACATTTTACAGCGTATGTATATCGCCATGTGTCCGTCGCTGTGTGCATTATTTTGTTTACATGCCACTACTAGAAGCTCGTTACGTGGCACATAAACAGCGTCTCGGTAAGGATCATGGCCCGGGGGGGGCCATGATCCTTACCAACCAGCCAATTCGGCCATGCCAGCGGGAGTTGGCCGCTTGCCAACACAACTATGGCAGCCTATCCCACCGTCACCGGGACTGGCAGTTCATCGGCATGGCTGCAGTCAGATACCTCCACCTAGGCAAAACTGGCTGTTTGCTGCACCACTACAGCCGGCAAATCCCACCATCTTCGCGGGACCGCCTGCTAGTCGGCCTGGCTACGGCCAGCCCAACGACTGCCAGCAGACGCTGTGGAATACCCAGGCCTACCTGTCTGTCAAACTGGAGCATCTCATACAGGGTTTCGGCCACATCTGGGAGCAGCGAGGTCGGCAGGCAGAAGATGGCCGACTGTATCAAGGTCGTGACCAGGGCCTGACCCTGGGACGCCAGCAATGTGCCCACTATGCTCCGGCGCTCTGCAAAGTCGCTCGCATCCTGAATGCAAACGAAAAACCTAAAGGTCACTTTTATTGACACGAGACGCAAGAATATTGTGTGAAAACACCACCCAATTAATTTTGCTTCTGCTGACTAACACACTTTTTTCTAATCTAGTGGGGAAACCAACACAACACAGACAACAGAGACTGATCATCAGCAGAATATATGTACAGAATCAGGGGCGTCGTAAGTGTTCAGGAGACAGAGGGACGATAAAGGAAAGCTTGGGTTGGTGGATAAAATTTCCCTCTTCTTCACTCGAATCGGTGATAAGTTAAGAGTTTAGGGGGGACCCCTCCCACCACTTTCCAGTTTAGCAAAGCAAACACTGGAGAGGAAGTCGCCTCCTCTCCAGTGGAAAGAAGCGGAAAGAGCTCCTCCCAACCTCTTAAAAGACATATGCACAAAAAAAAAAGCTTTTTTTTATACAGTCTGGTTGGACAAGGGATGTTATAAAATAAATGTACAGTGAGAAAAAAAAAAAAAAAAGAATGTTAGACCTTATATTTACGGCAAGAAAAGAATTTGTAACTGGTGCCAGCAGGAGCTCGCGGAAAAGTGGTTATTAGAGTCACGTGACTGGTTACTACAGTCACGTGGCGTTTGCACTCTTTTGGGAGCTTCCTATAATCTCTAAAAGTTAGTTATTAATCTATGTTTTAAGGGGGGGACACTACCTTAAAACTGCAATTTTTGAGAAAAGCTCACTTTCCTCATTTTTATGTATTGTGGTTCCACAACTAATAGTAAATGCTTTTGCAAATTTTTATTGGAATACCTTAAAAGGCAGCTCCGCTCAATTCTATAGATCTTCAGATAATGAGTGATTTTGCACTAAAAAGCACTATTAATAGACAATATGTCATTTGCTTTGCAAAAGATGGGATGTATATTGCTAAATCTAATTTTAAACATGAGCAGAAATCGAAACCGAAGCTTTCACTCTGTCCGGCAACATTGACCTCAAGCCGCCAAAAACATGGCTATCACCTGGTACGAGATGTCACGTGATCCTTTACGCAACGACGGGCAGGATTGGGGTGGGCGTGTGCCAGGCGCAAGTGTCGTTTGCACAGCACTCTTACCACGTTTTGGTGTTTACGACATTCAATGATGTCTGCATAACTGCGGCATAAGCATGTGCACGCAGTGTCCGTAGTGTGAACAAAACTCTGAGAGATAATAATCACAAACGATGCGACGATGACAGCGGTTGTGACGCGGAAGATGGCAGTAACGGCGGGACTACGGCGGAACGGCTGGACGGTTTCCAAGAGGGCGCTGTGCGTGCGCGTTACGCCAACCACGTGGACACCGCTGAGCGCCGAGAGGAAATGTTGCTGACGTCCCCCGAACACTTGCTCGGAGAAGAAAAAGCAAGCAAAAAGGGGCAAGGGTGATGACGTTTAGCTCAATGTCGGCTACGCCCACATCGTACCCTTGACTGCGTTGTTGGTTGCGCCTCAATTCACCCGTTCGAGTCAGCCGATTCAGGCAACTTGGCAAGTAGAAGTCCAGCTTTCAGATGGAAGAGGCTATGCACATAGACAAGAATTGGAAAGCCCGTCCTGATTGAACAGAAAACAAACTAAAACCGATATTGGTTTATAGAAACGAACGTAGGTTTGTCTACTTTATTTCTTGATGATGCTCGCCCCGCCCACAATTGCTGACGCCGGTTCGTGTATTGCAAGCACATCCTATTCCTCACTCGTTTCTCAATCAATGGCCACATCCTGACAACAATATGACACTTGAAGAAAAGCGAAGAAAACGCCAATTTAGTTTCCCCGCTATATTTAGCGGGGAAAACGACGTCACGTGACTTTGTGTCACGTCCCCCATAAGCAAATTCAGTTTCTCTGCTAGATTTAGCGGGAAAACTGACATCACGTGACCTCAACATGAATTTGAACCGTACGGACGAGGAGGGGCATACCTTCCCCTCCGTACTCACCCCTACTCCTCCTGAAGAGCTGCGCTCTAATTTCGCGTTACAGAGATGTGTAAAGCACTTTCATTTCTTGCATCAATTTTCGTTTGAGGAAATCTCATTTCAATGAATTGCCGAATTTATTCTTTGCTACGGATGTTTATGAACTGAAATGTAATGAGGAATGTGGCTAGATATTTATTTTCCTGTTTAAATGAAGTTCTTATAAACAAAAAGTAGGGTTATTATGAGGGCAAAATGTCCCTTTATTTGGAATGCTTGTCAAATGAATATTTCGCATAGAAAAAGTGCAGATATAAGGGTACAAAATAGATAGTCCCACTTCCAATGTGTTCTAGTTGAGGCTGAAGCTTAAAAATGCTCAATGTTTTGCAGCAATTTTATATGATAGAATTCCTTGCTAAATGAGGCAACTTACATCTATAACTGTATAACTCCTCCTGTAGCTTATCGTAAAATTTTCCTATGGAGGTTAAACTTCATAGAGTGTATTTAGGGAAAGAGATGAATAGGCCTTTCAAATTTCATCAATATTGAGCTACTGGTTTGACACTTGAAGGTGGTGTCACCCCTTATGTACAACAAAAAAAAATGAGGATTAAGAAGTAACTTTTAGAGCCCATAGGAAGCTCCCAAAAGATAGCAAACACCATGTGATGCACCTGTGCGTAGGTCAGAAAACCGACGACGGCGGCGGCAGCGTGGACAAAAGTCGCTAAGTAATATAATTGTGAGGACATTTTTTTCCATTTTTAAATTTTTTGGATTGGACAGGATTTGTGAAGGTCTTTTTTTTTTTATTTCAAACATTACTATAAATTACTTCCTGCGTATAAAAAAAAAATGTTCAGCCGGCGGTGTGCCACGCTCAGCATGCGGCGCGGCGGCGGTGGCGGCGGGGGGGATCTGGGGACTTCAGCAGCAGCGCTGGACGGCCCCTTCGTAATTTGTGGTGGCGGTGGCGAAGTGCGGCGGCACACAGGTCTACCACGTGACTAGTGGACAGTCACGCGACTGCTATAGCCACTTTTCCGTGGGCTCCCGTGGGCACAACTACAGATTTGTTTTGCGTCACAAATATAGCTCTAAAAATTTTTATTTTGTTGTAAACTTATTTTATCACATCCTTTTCCTATCCAGGATGTATAAAGAAAACATTTTTTCCTTTGCATATCTCTTTTAACTTGTCACCGAATCTACTTCCGTTGTTCTGACATTACTGCAGAGCGAGAAGCTAGCCTGCTTCAAAGTATGGCAACCTGGATTACCACCGTAAAGGGACGATTTGACCAGTGCAGCACGACCGTCGGGTTAAAACGTGCACCATGAAGCATCATCTGAATGCTTGCTGGTACAATGTCTGTAAACACGAAAGCCGACGCGATTAAAAAGCGAGTTTGCAACACCTATCGCCACGCATGCTGCCGGATGCCTCAACCTACTGGTGCTTGCTCCTTTCTCTACAATGTGCCAAAACCTTTAGCCAGTAGGGAGAAAATGGAACAGACACCGGAGAAAGCTATCCATCCTAATCAGCCTTCCAGCAACCCCCAGGCCGAATCAAACCCCAGCCAGTAGAACAGTTCTGTACCTGCTTAGAGCGTCCGCTGTGAACCAGGTCGAAGAGGAACTTCATGACCGAAGCGTTGGCCTCCTTGTGGTCGAGCGTGCATGCCGCCAGGGAGCACTGCAGCACACCCGTTAGCACGGTGCTCTTCAGGAACACTAGTGGTGCCCTCTGGAGAAACCTGCATGGTCCAGAGCAAAGTGTAAACCCAGCTGGACAGTGCGATATGTTTACTACAGGTCAGTACAGGCGAGCAGAGCTTGCATATACAAAAATTCCCAGAGTGAACACAGCAGACGTGGTAGGTGCTAGCTCAGCTTTGACTTGAGTGCTTCGAAGGGAAAGGGACTGTTTCGAACAGATACAAAAAACAACCACTATTATGGCCTTCTTGCTTTCTTTTATCTTTATTTGTTGCAGTCGGAAGCTTTTAACCTAATGGGCTATTGCAAATAAGAACTGCAGGAGAGGCAAAGGCCCCAAATCGCCAAACATAAATGGCGTCATTATGCCCCTCAGTCAGTACAATTGCATCAATTTTCCATCATGAAATGGGAGAAGCACCCGTCAGCACCCTTTTCCAAGACTGGCACACTACAAGATACAAAGCTCCGGCTGACGACCAGTGTGCATCGGTGCACTGGGCTTTGATTGGCTCCTTGTTCTTACGCATGCGGCCTCTTCCCGGCAGTTTGTCTGCTACAACAAATGGCCTCCATCTTTGCCTCACCTGGTGCAGAGGCGAAAGAGGTCGTCAACGGTGTCAGGATGTTGCCGCAGGGCGTCTGCTCCTCCCAGCAGCCTAAAAGTGGGTCCACAAAACGCCTGCAAAAAAGGGAAACGAGTAGGGTTGTGCGAATGTTCGAAATTTCGTATAGTAGTTCCGAATAATAGACTACTCAATTTTCGCTTCGAGAAGAACTGCACTATTTGCGTTTTTCGAAGTGTTGATTGCGGCGGGTCAACCCCTTTGAGTGCGCTTCTTATCAAACACCGGTGCACAGCGGAGAAGCAACACCAGCGGAAGCGAGCTCTGCGGACGTTGTTTCTCCGCATTACATCGGTGCTCGGTAAGAAGCGCACTCAACGGAGTAACCCGCCGCAATGAACACATGGAAAAGTATGAATGCTGCAATAGGCCGATCTCACCAGCCAGTTTGAATACGACACCGCTGCCGCAATGCATCAAGGGAACTTCAGTCATTCTACAAGTGCGACAACCCCCCGGAGCTCTGCGCGTGTTTAGCACTAGACGGCACTAGCTCTCGCATTCGCGGTCGTCTGCCTCCTGTGAACTAAAGTTAAGGTGGCATCACGCATGCGCCGAACGCTTAGTGAGATCCGTCTATCGCGTGCTTGAAAAAAAAACCATACATTCAAAGCGGGATGGTGCACACGTTCCGGCTGTATATGAGAATAAATGGAAACTTTGTGAATGTGTATACTGTAAAACCCTTTATCTTTGTGGCTGCTCTTTTCCTCGAATTGGTCACAGAGGACATAATCGCGGCAATTAAATTTCGCGAATTCTAGAGATTTGCATTGAAATTCTTAAGGACCAAAATTTTCGCATGCCTTCAAATTTCGCAAAATTTTCAATTCGCAATATTCTGCAAAATTAAGGGCTCGCAAACATTAAGGGCTTTACAGTATATACATCATAGTAAAAGTTCCAAAATTAAACTGACTGTTTTGCAAGAGTATATGTTAGGCAGAGATGCCCTTATAACCTCCATTCATCATGCGCGATTCATTCATTTTAAACTTCAAATTAAAAAAAAAAAATATTTAAGATTTATAAATTCAGTCAACTGGGTATAGTTGGCCATTTCTATTGGATTCATTTTATGTCAAACCCGTCGTTTACTTGCCATCCCCAAAACATCAGGCCTTATGAGGTCGCAGTTCATAAATATAGGTAGACTAAACTTGGCTTATAAATAAACTAGTTGGACAACCTTCACAAGTTTAGCTGGGGTTTCATCTAAGCATTATGCTATGGTAGTGAAAGGCGTGGAAAAACTATTTGTTATTCAATTCGAAAATATTCAGCCAAAACCACCATTGGCTTTGAATTCGCTTTGAACTCAAAATCCACTATTCGCACAAGACCAGAAACAAGAGATGCATACAGCATTACACGCGAGCCAAGAAAGCACGTGGTCATGTGGCCTTATGTTACGCAACGTCAAGTCGCGAGACAACATCTCATGGTGTCACTTGACATCTAGGTGTACCCGGACGTTACGTCATGTGAGATCATAAGTGTCACAGTGTCAGATGCATACCTGCCAACCTAGCAACATAAAAATTCGGGCGACCGCCGCGCAGGGAGAAGGGGTGAAGCTTTTTTTTTTTTTTTTTAGTTTTACAAGAAACCTTGTGAAGAGGCACTCTGCACGAATCACATTGTCTTCGCAGTTGTTTTGGAGTAAACTGCCGGTGGTGCCCTGCCCTTCTACGGCACAGCATGGTTCTGATGCTTTCGTGAAGCGATGTGTATCTTGATGTCAAGCTTGCCGCCATGCGAAACGCTCACACATCACAGGCGCACATAGTACAGAATTCATACTTGTCAGCTTTCAGCGAAGCGACAAAGCACGGAAACTCAGTCGCGTATGATCTTAGAAATACTTGCAAGTACTTCTTCGTGGCTTTTGAAAGTGCCATCGATCGTTCCAACAGATCAGTGGTTCCAATTAAACTCGGGGAAACATGAAGAGTAGTACGGCGTTCCGCACCTCACTCGACGACCTAACAAAGTCAACTGAAGCCTAGCGCACCCATGGTCATATAAGCCGTGTTCCAAAATGCGCTCTAACTTCAGGAGTAGAGGTTTCGTGCCTTGGCGTTTGAAAATCTACCCTTGTTTTACGCTACTGCTCTGAGCTGTCACGTGGTAACCCGCCGGAGTAACCTAAACTTACTCTCGAGTAACTCGCAATGACACACGCGTGATCATTATAACAATAAGGCGTCACAAAAAAAAAAAAAAAAATTACGGCGGACATTTTTCGGGAGATCTGAGGCCGCGTCCGCACAATCGGGAGATGTGATCGAAATTTGGAAGGCTCCCGGAAAGTTTGGGAGGGTGGGCAGGTATGCAGATGACATCATGGTGTCACGTGACAACACACTAATAACGTCATCGGCATTGTGTCACCACCGAGGCTACCTTGCCACTGAAACGAAAGCGCTCGCAGCTGACCCTATAAATGCTATAAATATAAAGCTTGAGCTTCATTGCAACTTCACATTGCTTCATTGCTTCATTCACACCTCAGCAGAAAAACCACGAAGCGTGTGGTCGACGAGGTGAGTAGTTTCGGGACGATCTCCCGCAGTGTTTACCTGAAGCATCTCGAGGAGTCCCTGCACGCAGCCCTGCTCCGAGCCGTACTCGTCCACCAGTATGCTGCCCAGGTACAGGAAGCACGAGTGCTGATGCACCTGGTACAGCTGCACCATCTGTACAACCAAAGTTCAGACACCGCAGTTTGAGTTGGTTTGAGACATTGTTTGTCCCTATTACAGCAGAGCTGTTAAAAGCTAGTTTCTACAGTTTCGTGTCTGGTATTAAACATATGTCGACACAGAACTCTGGACAGCTACCGCCATCTACGAGCGACGGCGGCAATCAGACAACCAGCCTGGTTGCCGCCGTCGCTCATAGATTGCGGTAACCTTTCCAACTATCATAGAAGAATGGATAGTTGGGCAAGTTGGTGGGAATTCATTGTAGGAAACAGCACGCAAAACAGGCGTGGGACGAAGAAGAAACACAGGGGACAAGCGTACAGCTTCGCTAGTCTTTCTTCTTACCCAGAGTAGAAAGGCTGAAAGTTTTTTCTTTCCTCTACCCCAATCTCAAGCTAATATCGCTATGGTCCAGGACCTTTTGCTGGGAAATTCCCGAACACGGTGTGCCATCGTTGTGCTTCTCACGGATTACCACATCCCTCGAAGTTCAAACAAAAAGCACCCTTTTTCTATCCCGTTGTCAAATTGAGATAGAATTGAGGGAAAGACGTCCAGCTCTGATAAAGAAATTCTGCTTGTTGGCTTTTAAGAACCGTTGGAACCGAGGCGACGGGCTTGCACACATTCGAGGCAAGCAGCTCGTGAATGTCGTTAGGCTTAACAACAGAGGTAGTGTCCAACGACAACAGTTAGGCCTAACCACAGCAGTGAGGCCAGCAACAACCACTAGGCCTAACAACAGTGTCTCATAAAATCGCACAATGTTGCACGACTCGACACCTGAAGTCACGTTGCCCCATGTCTTGGTGTCCAATATTACTAGATCCAATAATGTCGTTGACACCACGACTTCACGCCATAATTCACGTGACACCACAACGCGACGTTGTGCGACCTGGTGCGGCCCGACACATGTCAGGCGGTCGTATGACCTGCAGTGGCACCAGCCACACGACCCGATAACACGACATCCCGTTAAATTTAACAGCTTGTTAAATATAGCCGATGACGCCACTGCCAAGTCCTATCCGTCCGCATGATTACTAGACAGCTACGCAAATCTCAAGATTGCTTCCGTTAACCCCTTGCCTCCTATTAACGAGTGTCACTCGTGCCACCGCTTACGGACCATAAAGCCCGACGCTTGTTTAGCGAGTTCTCTGACAGATGGCTAAACCACCCCTGTCGCTCCATTTTCCTTGGGCAGTGTTCTCGTTTGTTTTGCTGTTTGACAGAAAAAGAAATGCTCCATTTAACCAAAAAAAAGAAAGAGCAGTTGTTTTTGAGCGTTCATGCTAAAACAACAAGGCTTTGGCACGGAGATCCACTTTAGCCGACAAAGAGATACAGAGCCTTCTTTTTGAATGGGATTAATGATGTAACGACAAATTCTTCGGCATTCCTGATTTTTAGGAATCAGACGATAGTATGATCGGCAGTGACGGGAGTGATGTTAATGATGTGAATTGTGCAAGCCTCCCATGAACTTCGGCGTCTGCACGTCAGTGGGTCTTAGACAAGAGGCCTGGCTTAGAGCAAGATATGACACCTGGAAGTCAAGAAAATATTTTTATCTTATTTTATTGCAAATTTCCTGTTTAAAATAATATTTGTATGTTTGTTTCTTAAAGAAAAGAAATGAGTAGACAAGGGGTTAAAATGCATTCTGCACTAAAAAGGATTGATTTGAAAGGCTGCAGCCCGGTCGGTCTTATTTCGGCGTCCCACCTGCGTGACCAGCGGCTGAAGCAGGGCGTGAGACTGCCTCCCCACGCAGCGCACGGCGAAGCGTATGCAGCGGCAGCAGCGCTCCATGACCCTCGTGTCCCCCTGGTAGCGGTGGCAGGCCCTTGACAGCACCGGCCACACCTCCTCCACCACGGGCTGGCACGGGTGGGGCTGGCCCGCGGCCACCGTCACGTTCGTGTGCCTGCGCTCAATGTCGGGCACAGTCAACTCGGCGGTCAAGCGGGGCCGCAAAGCAACCAAGCGTGTAAAGGGGCACTAAAAGGGTGTTTAATGCAAGAATGTGATGTGCAACTTAATGTCAGCCTTGCCACCGTGCACGAAGCGATGTGCAGCTAATGTCAGCCTTGTCACCGAGCGAAACACTTACATCACACGTGCACGTGCTACCAGAATCCAAACTTCTCTCCCTTTTTGGTTGGCACGAAGCACGGGAATTCTGACGTGTAGAACTTCAAGAACACCTGAAAGTACCTCTTTTGAGGTTTGGAGCTCGCCATTGCGCCGCAAAGCCACAGTGAACAGGGGAATGCTACGATTACACGTGCAACAAACACACACAGACGCCACACTGCTCACCTCGAAAGTGGTCAAAACAGAGAGGCCCAACCACGTCTGAACACACCGAACACACGAACAAAAGCTTTGGGCTTTGGGTTGGCTTTGGGTCCGTGGCCACCGGATAGACGGATAGTAAAAACCATGAGGCTGCCGTGGACGGTACCTATTGCCCTCTTGTGGCCAGCAATAATATTACAAAAAAAAAAGTAAAAACAAATAATTTTTATATATAATTTTTTTTCGTAAAATTTGAAGCAAGATTCGTAAAATCGTAAAATTAGTAGTCCAAATTCATACATTTTACGAAAAATTCGGAAGAGTTGGCAGGTATGAGAATGTAACTTTTGAACTTTCAGATGCATTTTTCTCTCATGATTTTCGGCAGTCTTCACAGTTTGTGCACTCCTTTTTTGATACTCACAATTATCACATCATAATGAAATTTTGCACACATATTCTTAAAGGTGTATAGATTGCTGATACCGTATTATTCGAATATAAGGCGGTCACAATTATAAGGCGAGGGGGCAGTTGAAGGACCCCAGAAAAAGAAAAAAAATCGCCATATTGCTATAGTGAGCTTCAAGATAAGGCGGGGACTTTGAGACTACGGATTTTGGAAAAAAAAACCTTGCCTTATATTCAAATAAATACGGTATCTATTTCGACCTGTAATTTTCTGATATATGCTTATGCAAATTGCGATGAACTTCTAGATGACTTCTAAAAGTACAACATTACAGCATCTTTATTTTATTTTTACTGATAGGAAAACTATGCAGAACTTTTTGATTAGTTATCAGCATCCTAGACCTCATAAGGAACAAAATAAGCTGTTGCAATCTATTTCTGGTGAAAACTTAGTATGACAAAAGCTGTGCACAAAAACACCTATTTTTCGTAATTGTATGGGGTGCTGAACGTAAAGTATAGAAGCTATGTCAGAACTAATGACTGTTCTGAAGGGAGGAGAAAAAACCCTATAAGCATGTAAAATTTCATTATCCTAGGATTTATATTAAATAAAAAGGGTCTTCGCGTAGCATCTTCCCTCAACGCACTTCTCACATAAAATGGGCAGTAGAGCCGGCTCGAAAAGTCCAGGTGATTGGTCTACTCACCTAAAGATGGCGGCAAGCCTGTCCAACCAGACGGTCGGCTCCGAGCGGATGCCCTCGGTGCCTGTTTCTTCGGCATTCATTAGCTGCACAAACAAGCATTGACTCTGTTAAGACTATCCCTAAAGCCACAGTCACAATGCTTACACCGCTGCAGACGTAGTGACAGAAGGCTCTGTTCAGATAAGATCATGAATGCAAGTTTCAACAAATTTTTTATCTTTTTTATGTCACTCCTCAACATGTGTAGAGAATGTGCCGTATTTGCACAAATATAACGCAAGTTTTTTTGTTTTCTTTGAAATTATGTGCTCCAAAACGCACCTCGCGATATATTCGGAATCGAGTACAGCCACGAGGCGCACGAGACTGGAAAAAGCCATCCCTCCGGCTCAATGCAGGAGATCAGGTGGGAGGAGAAGTGGGGGTGTGGGAGTAAATATATTAACTACTGGGCCACCTGAAGGGAGGTAATAAAAAACATAGGAGCATTTTTACCGCTTTCGTGTTTGTACAACGCACGCCGAAAAGCACGCCGCAGAAATGCAGCATGCCACGCGGGAACTAGCCAATGCAAGCCAAGTCAGGCCAAGTCAAGTCCATACAAGCCAAGGCAAGACCACCGACCGTGTTTATGCAATCATGCAACACAAGGTTTGTTTTGTGTGAAAGGGACCAGAACAAGAATGAGGCGCGGTGCTACTGCATATTCGCAAAGTCGCCAAGTTGATTGCAAACGGAAGGACCTGCGCAGTGAGGATGAGTACAGTCAACACATACTCTTCGATTTACATTGCCTTTTCACTTCTGCTATGCCCCTGAGTGCAGTAAATTTACGAAGCCTTCGGCTCGCGTTATAATAGTAATAATGTTTTGTTTTTTTTGTTTTGAGGGCATCAAAATCTGCCCTTGCAGTATATTCGTGGTCGCGTTATATTCATGCAAATACAGTAAACAAAGAAGGTTTCGCAAAATACATAATATTTGAAGAGAAAAAAAGAATTGAGTGTGCTAGAATGGCATATTTGAATTCTGAAGTTTTCGTTTATGTCACGTTTGGTGACACCTACTACGCAAACTACAAATGCGCACTCGCTCCACATTCGTTATGTCTAGCGCAGACAGGCATCCCTCATTGGAAAGAGCACTTTAACCCTTCTTTCGGTATAGAGCTTCTTGCGAGACATTGTGCACACCGACCGTGAAACCGCGTAGAAAACAACACTGCACGTTTTCTTATTGGCCACACTGGCGAAGAAGGCACTCTGATTCGCTCAAATTTGCCACGTGACCCCACACTCCATGCAGCGTGGAGTGTATGCCAGTCTCCTGCATCTATACTCCATTGACGAGGAGCAAAAGCAACATCGCTTGCCCCACTGGGATAAACTCCTGGTGTTACATGAACCGAAGCAAGGCCCTCCAGGAAACAGGAAGAATCACCAGAATCTCGGCCACACAAGCCAGCCTTCTCCAAGGGGATAGCGAAGGAGGGATTTGCATGAAAGGTGCTCCCAGATGAAAACTGAGACAGCAAATGATTCTTCCAACGCCTTGGTTTGGAAAAGGTGTCCAAAGGTAGATCTCGCTTATCAAAGTACTCTCGAGTGTTCCGTAGCTCTCGCAGTCTTGGAGTTCAACCTGGGTTCTCGAGGCTTCGAGAAAGTTCTTTTGGAGATAGGCATTGAGCCAGGGAGCCACCAGACATCACAAGCCATGAAGGCCACTTAGACGAAGGTTGCAAAGGCCCACTTAAAGGGTAACTGCAAAGAAAAAAAAAGGGTATTTTTAAAGCGGCACTGACACCCCAAAGGTCGTATTATTTTTTATTGTCTAAAACGATGCAAGTTATAGTCATAAACACGCAAAAAAAAAAAATTTCCCCGTGCGCGCGCGCGCCTTTTTATTTTTGGCGTTTATATTTCCCACACTCACCTCCATGCTTCTTTTGATCGGTGATGTCAAAAATCAGGAAATTTAGAAGCTTTGTAGGCGACTTTTTTAAAGATTTAATAACGGTAATCGTAAAACATGTTTTTTAATGCAATTGCGAACGCACTACGGCCTCTCTTTTTGTAATACCAAAAATCAGATTTCGGTGTGATGTCGCTTCCTGGATTTGTAACCTCCCTCGGAAAACTTGGCGGCGCTCGAGCAGAGGATTATCGGCGAGTCGGGGAAGAAACCGGTTTTTTCCTGTGCCGGCGCCCTTCTATCCCGCCTGGTCACCTCCTCCTAGCTTCGGGTCGTGGTGGCAACGGAGGTCCCAAAGAAAGTCGAGTTGCAGGAGACCGCAAAATTTGACTCACTGCACTGGCGCGGATCATGCGGGAACTTCAAATTCGGCATTTGGAAATTGTTTTTTTAATTCAGAAATACTGAATTCCCAAGTTTCGAATTTTGAGGGTATTGTCCCGGCATTATTTTCAATCGTTCCGGATAATAAAAAAAAATATGATTTTGATGTGTCAATGCCCCTTTCAACAGCCTAATTGGGACAAGCATGTCACAAAACAATTTTTCCAACAAAAACAACATTTTTCACAGCAATATTCATCGCGCTAGACTGATTTTAGTTTGCGGCTGTTTCGACCGTTTTTAATTGCGCGCCACAAAGTTGGTATTATACATCAAGGAATGGCTGCTCTACATCAAGGATGGTGTATTCGCACGATGGAGTTTCTTCCCGAGGAGAAGAATAAATGTCATCGAGTTTTGAGGTCGCGTGCTCCGCGTCACGTATGTTTGCTGATCCCCCGAGCTCGCGGCATGCTCGCGGGGACCCGAGGAGAATCTGCGACAGGCCTACGAATATCCGCCGTTCCGTCGGTATCCGTCGGAGCGACCGGGCCCCTCTTTTGTTCCCTGCTTTTGGGGAGCGATAATGATCAATAGCTTTGAAGTGTGGGATGCCTTTGCTTTCTTATTTTTTGCCTGCTTTTTGTTCGCCGAGCCCCCGAAAGTCGCCAGCAGGCTTGCAGTATGGGGTGTCTTTTCTTTATTATTTTTTCTCTGCCTTTTGTTCAATGAGCCCCCGAAAGTCGTCAACAGGTTTGCGAAAGGGAAAACTCCGTCGACTCAACTACATGCGACTCCGTCGTGCGAATGCTCGCTTGGATTTTCTACACTGCCTCCTCCTTCTTGTGCCGTTTCCTTCTCTCGGCTCTATGACGTACTCGGCTTTCTCTGGGGATAAAGATCTCTCGTGCGAATACACCAGGAGTGACGTATTCCAGCCGCTCCACGCGCGTCGAAAGAGCGGGAGTTTTAAATGTGGAGAGGTTGTGACCCCAACTAAATTACGTCTTGCGGCGTAAGTATTGCTAAAACAAATTTGTTTTTTTGCGGAAGATTTGTTTTGTGACATGCTTGTCTCAATTAGGCTGTTTAAAAAAGCACTTTTTTTTTTGCAGTTACCCTTTAAGTTCTCCAAGGCACCAAGCAAGAGACGAAAGATAAGTTACCCTTTAAGTTCTCCAAGGCAACAAGCAAGATACGAAAGATGGAAGCTGTGGCCAAAGCACACAAGGACCATGCAGGTAAGAGACTGACATACAATCCTGGAGCATTTTAGTTCAAGTGCCATCTAAAGTGGAACACAATGTGAATTTTCAAACACGTTTTTCTTAGCTTCATTTTTTGACCACTGTTTCATTGCTCAATATCTATCATTGGATGACTGAACTAGGTACCTTCATAACTGCTGTGCAGTTTTTATGGAGCGAAATTTACTGGAGAACTTGACTATGTGCTTACATTTTTAAGATTGTTACTCCTTTAGCGAGAAAATGTCAGACTTTTGTAAAAGTAAAACAATGAATGAAATGAACTCCTTTTCCGAAGTTCACTTTAACGCTAAATATGACACTTCTTAATATTATTTGAAACCCACTACCAATTAGTCCAGTCACTTGTCCTTATATCCAAGCAAAAATATTGTGACATTTTGGTACTGTTTTGTAACAATCGTTTTTTCCCCTCGGCACTACTAGTTGTATAACGTTTTTGACATACGAGGCTGCAACTTGGCACGAAGTTGACCTTTTCAGCTGAAATTTGGTGTAGCCTCCCAAGTTTGCAAGCCTAATATGCCCTGCCAATTTCATTGAAACACCACTAGTACTCAGAAAGTAGACCCTCCAAGGGAGCGCCTCTCTTTAAAGGGCAAGACAGGCTTAGTGGATAAATACAAAGGGTGAGCAGTGCAAGTATATTGTTTTATTAGTAGAATACAATCGCGCCCGGTTATATGCCACCCGAGTATTTCGAATTATTGTTTATATATAGAACAGTCCAAACATCCCCTTGAAAACGAAGAATGAAGCACGCTTGCACGGGCACCCACCCACCTGTCGCTTCTCCTGGAGTGCGATTGTGCGGCCGGGCCGCGAGTACATACCTCTACATAGCTCGCGCTGAGGGGCTGGCAAGCCGCCAAGCCAGCGTACGCACACGGGGATACGCAGCTAAAAAGCATTGTAAAAAAACAAACATAAAAAAGTGGAGGATGACAAAGGGGAAAGGCACGCGCGTGCGTAGGGAGGGAGGGCAGAGAGTGCCCCCTTTTGGAACGGTAGTCAATTAAAACTTGTTGTTGGCCTAGTTGGTTCATGATGCAGTCTAGAAGTTTTTTTGGCTCGACACAAGGGACAATCACAAGCAAGTAGACACGGACAAGCGCAACTTTCAGCTAGTTTACTCGTAGAAAGCCTGGCACATCGACGGCAGAGCCATAGGGCGCGCGGCCGCAGGAAAAACGAGAGGAGGAGCACGCGAAACGGTGACCAATATGGTAGCGCAGAGCAGAAAGGGCAGAGATAGTATGCGAGCGCTTGGGTCATGAGCGGCCGCTCCCCGAACCACGTTTGTTTTCGTGTTTTCGTCACCGTCGTTTTCGTGCTCCGGGAGCAACGGCTGTGGCAACTCGAAAGGGCGCTGGCAGCAATGCACGATACTGGTGGCGTCGGCAGAGTTGTCGGCGTGCCAGCGGAGTGCGTCGTCGTTGGACCATCATATTGTGCCGCAAAGAACCATGTAGTTTTGACTAAACGAAACCGATGGCCGCGATCGTCGGTTTCGCGTTCAAGGACCGTTGCAGAGATGCGGGCGCAGGGAGAAACGGGAAAGGGTTGACATTGAGCTCCTCCTCCCCACGATACCGAGAAGAAAAGAGGAAAAAAAAAGTGTTTCTGGATTTGGCCGCTCGCTCTTGTGTGGCGCTAGCAGGCAATCTTCCCTCCGCTCCCGTTTCCCCGCCCTCCTTTCCCATTTACGGCAGCTGCTCTCCACCTGCATTGTGCATTCGGAGTTTGTCGGCTTTCCTTGAAAGTTTTTACTTTATTTGCCTCTTCAGGATGCTTGCGGGTTTTCTGTTATCTTCCACTGTGAGAACCAGGGAATACCAAGGCTCGTAGCCTGCTCGGCCTTCGCAGGAAACGAGCGAAGAGAGTGAAAGTCAAGCAGCCCACAACGCGGGCCGTTCGACGTTCTTCATTGATTATTTCCATTGGGATAATCTCCAAAAACAACTGCATCTCCACGTGGTGAATGATGTTGACTGGGGCGAAGCTCTGGTGGTGCTTGTCTGCGTAGACGCTGAGCCGCAGCATGGCGAGCCTTTCGTTCGTTTTCATTCATGTCACGCTGCGGTCAAATGCTGAAATGCGTATATAACCACGTTCCATACCACACATTCTCTTTCTTACATGAATGAAAACGAACGAAAGGCTCGGCATGCTGCGGCTCACCGTCTACGCAGACAAGCACCACCAGAGCTTCGCCCTAATCAACATCATTCACCACGTGGAGATGCGGTTGTTTTTTTTTTTTCCCTACACGAGCACAAGAGCACGTGCTCACGTGCTCGTGAGCACGAGCACCCAACGCCGGACATCAGACGGACATACGGACACAGCTAGCCCCTAAGGAGCTTCGCCCCTAAAAGCCTTCCTGGCTATGTTCCCAGACTTGGCGAGAAGTAGCTGATAGTGTCAGGGGTACGAGGACTGAATAGACACATTTATTCATTTGCTTTTGTGCTGTGTAAAAAAGCACCACTCTTCAATACATACCTCAAGACAAGCCGGACTCTGTCCGATCGTCATGAAGTGCCTATCGTCGACACTGCATTTTGGACATGCTGTGTTATTTGAAACCTTTCTCAAATCCTGTTTGGATAACGCAGCACCGTGAGGTACTTACAATATATGTTCTTCGATTGATCAGATTTGTTGAATTTCATGTTGTGAGCGGGGAATGCCCATGCAGTTTGGCTAGCCTGTGGTGTGGGGGAATATTTTAGGCAGTTAAGACCTTATTAGATTGACACTGCTGAGTGTATGGTGCCGTTAAAAAGATCAACATAAGGTGAAACAAACATTCCAGTTGCATTTGTTCTGTTGCGCACAGACTCGCCAAAAAAGGGCTTTCATTTGTTTGTTTTTGTTCCCAAATATATTGCAACGCTTTCTTAAAAACTCAAAGAAATTCTTTTCGCCATAGAACACAAAACAAAAAATAAAACGAGGCAATTTACGCAGGTCGCCACAGCCTACTGAGGAGAAAACCCACAATCCAGCGCAGTCAGGCAACACCGACATACACTCTCAAAACCAGAGACGCACGCACTGTAAATTGCTTCGTTCAGGACTGCCTGCGCTGGAAAGGTCTATAAAGGAGGCTATGCATTATCACACCAAATGAACACAGCTGTGGCTGCCTGACTCCTTAGCCCCAAAATAAAATAAGCAAAAAAAAAAAAAAAAAAAAGAACATCTTTGTCAAGTTGAATGTGTCCACAACAACGGTTGAGCAATCACACTTTGAACCCTTTATCTTTGTTTACCATTTTCTTTGGCTGTTTTTGCTTTGCCCGTTTTTCTTTTTCTTTTTTCCTTTCTTTTTTTGCTGCCTGATTTTAGTTAGGTTTCTTTTTGTTGCTTGCTTAACTTTATTCTATGGATCGAGCTTTTTTTTTTTTTTTTTATGCAACTCTCTTTTTTTGTCTTCTTTTTTTAATTATTCTTGTGTTTTCTTAGCGGTGCTCTTTTTTTGTCTTCTTTTTTTAATTATTCTTGTGTTTTCTTAGCGGTGCTTTAGGAGGTTGTGGCCAGCTGTATTTAGAGGCTCTCAGAGGCTGAGTTTAAAGGCTCTATTAGGCAAGGTCCCGTTTGTCTGTCGCTGTCTTCGGTTATTAGCAGAGGTGCGCTGAAATTTCAACTAAAGCTTAAGTTAACATGTTTTTACAGCGGAGCTGTTAAGGGCTAGGTTCCCCAGGATCGTGTCCGAGTATGTCGACACAAACCTACCTGGACAGCTACCGCCATTTATAAGCGACGGCGGCAAGCACACAACCAGTATGGTTTCCGCCGTCGCTCGTAGATGGCGGCAACCTTACCAGCTATAATAGAAGAATAGATAGTTGGGCACATTGGTGAGAATTCATCGTAGGAAACAGCGCGAAAAACAGATGATGACGAAGAAGCAGCGCACAGTGTATCGAGTACAGCTCCGCTGGTCTTCCTTCTTCACGAGAGTGGAAAGGCTGAACGATTTTGTATGTCAAATTATCGATATATTGAACTATTTTACGATCCCCCTTGAATTCGATATATCCGGGTTCGACTGTATTTGAACTTGAGCCCAATACCCAAATACTGTACAAAAAATATATCTTGTCATGAAAAACCCGGAATTGAAGATAATTTCCTCTTGGCATCGGGCAAAAATGCAGGCATGGAAGGTACACTTTACAGGAGTGCAGTTTTGAAAAGAACAAAATGATACATGTTTTTTTTTTGTTTTTTTTGTTTTTATGAATAAACACAATAGTATGGTGGAGAAATATCATATAAATTTCAGGAAAATCGAAGATGTTTTTTGTTTTGTTCCTACGCATGTTGAGGAGTAGCATACAAAGAAATTAACAAAACCAAAAAATACACCCGGGCTCGCGTCCGTATCTCAACGGAGTCGGAATCATCTGCGGACAAGCCTCGAGTTTGTTTGAAGCGTGTTTGCTTTGTACATACGTGTGCTTCAAACATGTCTGCAGAGAGTTTTTGCATGATTGATGCGACAGAACTCTCATACCTGAGAGAAACGTGCCTCAGATGGTGTCTCTAGACTGTCTTTGGTACAATGCAACCGTGACTTTATAAGATTTTGATCGGATGGGCACTGCCTTAAGCTCTGGCATACTTTCCTCTGACTCCGCAAAAAATTGAGCGAACCCATGTGCGTATGTCGATTCTCAAGATGACATAAAGAGCACCACCGCACAAGGTAGGTCGTCCTGAACGTAAATCTGTCGGTATATTGAGCCTTTTATCGTGATGCTTGTTCTAATGAATTGCCTAATTAAACACAATCGAGCCCCATAGCTCAGGTTTAGGTGAGATACTCAATCTCCGGCCACACATTTAGAGTCTGCGCAAAAAGGACGTTGTAGTGAATGATTTGGGAAATATCCTTTCATCAATAAGAGAAAGAGCCCAAAGAACTGCCTTCTGCCCCTAAGAAAACTTTCTTTGTGAAAAAAAAAAGGAACACAAATTCTTAACAAAGTGTCTCGATATAACATTTATCACACCCACGGACATATGGCAAAAAAGTTGAAAGAAGAATGGACCCAGTGTCATGCGGAAGATAATGCTCGCAGATGCATGCTTCATTTGCTACCAATAAGCAATAATGGCATGCAAGAGAGATTGTGTTGTACAGTTTGCACTCTTTTGTTTGTAGTCGTTAGTGTGATTCATGGCCAACAGGTGGCGCCAGTAAGCCTTCTTACTCGCCCTCACCTGCGTCAAGGGATCCAGCTGGATGCGGCAGAGCTCCCGCAGACCACCGGTGATTTTGTCAGGACTCATTTGAGTCAGAACCAGCACCGTGCCTGCAAGTGTTTGACGCCACTCTGAAACACGCAACACCCTGCACTAACACGCCTACGAATTTCAAACGAAAGGTACTAGTTTAAAATCCTTTGGTCCAATAAAAGCAGCAAACACAAGAACAGCTACAAATTTTAGAGCATGTTAAAATGTGCAGTAGAAGGCAATAGAAGCTATATAGGTAAGTCTAGTAATGTGTACAAGCTTGAAACATAGCCTCTACAGTTTTTTTTTCTTATAAAATTCAGGAGATTCTAAGACCTGAATGGCAATTTCACATTCAACAGTTTTTGGGGTTTCTGACAAGCAGTCGGAACCCTGACAAAGCTTCTGCCGATATAGCAAACAGAATATATGTGAGATTGTAAAGGCTCTGCCATGTCATAAAACGGTGCCAATGATATAAACCTTTGTGTCATAAGCAGCATAAGCATCAACTTCAACCCCCACTGCATGAGGTAGATGTTGCTACATAAGCTATGTGTGCTTAAGAGTAACATCACTTCAGCCACATCGCTGCATACTCTCAGTGTTGTCAGTTGTCGCCAGTTATCTCCGACGCTCCTATCATAGGATGCAAGAAGTGCTCTCCATGATCCTACGTGCCAAACCAGTGTGGGACAGCGTAAAACAAGATCAACAGAGTTTCCTGGCATTGCACCAAAAACTCCCAAACGTTGCATTTCAGTAAAGTAAATCGTATTAGTGGACCGTACGCTAAAGCTCTGCGTACGCAAAGAAACTGCGGGTTGGGAGTGCATATGGGCAGAACGCAATAGAAGGGCTAGCATATTGCGTACGCACGCAACGCTGGGGATTTTGCGCTGCGGATTAGTGGGCTCGACTGGCGCAGCTTGGACGACATGATGTTCGCGAAGTTCAGTGTTACGTGAAATTATGTGATGTTCAGCTCAGCAATTCTTTCCGGGACCTACCGCAGTCCAGTCAGATCGCCGTGCCACCAAGGGAGTGAATAGTGCAAATGTTCACAGCTCGTAATGTGTGTGAACGTTGCGATCTGACTGGTGCAGTTCATCGCCGGCAGACGAACGACTCTCCAAGAAATCGCCGTTGCCGTGCACCGGTCATCAGTAGGTCATGGATTCCATCCCGCATTAGCACTGATAAAAGGTGCTGTTTCCACGGCACATTGACGGAGGCTCAGTGATCAAATTTTGCCATGTACTCGTTTCGTAGCCCCCGGGACTCAGTACCTCGCAGAAAGCGCGCTTGGCCAGAGAGATGCAGCTTGGCTTAATTAGAAATAAGATTATTTTAAACGTTTTCATTTTAAACATTTATTTCAAGGAGCGTGGTGGCGCTGTGAGCACGGGGAATTCAGAGCCATATATTGGGAGAGTTTGGCCAGTGGGTGTGGCGACGAAGGCCCCGGAGAGGAGAAAAGTGAATGAAAGGGAGGAGAGCGCCGAAGGAGCGAGAGAGAAAGAAGGAAGCAGATTAGAGACGACTGCCATTTATTCGCAGTGCTGTCGGAGACTGGCCGGAGAAGAGCACCGCTGAGGCTGCGTGTCGTCTGCTACGGGCAGACTTCTTCTTCGTCTGGATATAAGTTTGTGGCCATACGTCGAGAAAACTTCATATATCAGCTTTTTAACCCACTGAGGAATAACAGTATATCATTTTTTTTTTGCCAGAGCCAGCGATATAAAAGGAAATAATCGAGATTTAGATGCCGATACCATGCATTCCGCCGGGAGAATGAACGAAAATGGCGGCCTTCTCCACTCAGCTGGGAGCAGCCGGGAGTTCACGCACATGCGCTCATGCCTCTCGCTCTGCACCGCGTGCTGATTGGCTCACCCGGGAGGAGAGTGTTACTGCGGCGAGATCATAGACTGACCAAACTCTCCCCATATACGGCTCTGGGCGAATTCTACGACTCTGGCAAATTTAATCAAGATCATGCGAGATATTCACTCGGCAACGTTTACGGAACGCACAACTAAAATCGGTTCTAGCTGGTAGTTTTTAGCACACGCTATACAATTGCATATTACGTACGTAAGAGCCAGCAATGCTATACTAAACTGTTTAATACCTGTTCCGTAATTGTCTACCAAAAAACAAGAGTGCATATACCCTTCAGCACAGCTAAAGCACCTGAGGCTATAATAAAGAGTGTTGCTAAAGTGAATCTTGGCAAAGCTTAGCATTACCTAAAGCTTAATTAAGCTTTAGGTAAAGTCGAGCTTAGCTAAAGCTAGGCTAGACTAAGCTTTAGCTAAAGCTAGCCTAGGCTAAGTTAAGCTTGAGCTAAAGCTAGTCTTGGCTAAGCTAAGCTCTAGCTAATGCTAGACTAGGCTAAGATTTAGCTAAAGCTAGACTAGGCTAAAGCTAGATTAGGCTAAGCTAAGATTCAGCTAAAGCTAGTGTAGGCTAAGCTATGCTTTACCTATGCTGTTCAGAAAGTGCAACTAAAGTCACACTTCACAAACTACATTTTGCTTTACCAGTGTTCGCAGTAACGCGTTACAAATGACGGCATTACCGGTTAACATGTTTTTTTTTTTTTTTAGTAAAGTGTACCATTCTCATTACTTTTTCAAAACAGTAACTTATTTACGTTACTTATTTCGAGTAACAGGTAACAAAGTTACGTTGCTCGTTACTTTTTCTTTCTAAGACTTAAAAAAAATTAGACTTGAAATTTTGTATAGTGTTTCTAGGTACATGATAATTTTTGAGATTTTGTGTTTTTCTTTGCGTTTTTTCTTGCAAATAATTAGGTGAAACAAAGAAAATATAAAGGTTATTATATTCAGTTTCTGCATGGACACATTGTTTCTTGAAATATGGCACTTACGCAAACCTGTCATGTCAAAACAGTAAAATCTGTTAATTCATAATTAAGAAAGTAACACAAAAGTAACCTGCATTACTTTTATCAGTAACGGTAATGCTTTCCATTCATTTTGAACTAACGTAGGACGATAACACGGTACTTTTATTTACAAGTGAAGAGTAACGTATTTCTTTTTTTTTGGTAACGCCTACAACACTGGGCTCTATCCAGGCTCTTGTAAAGGTACGCTTTAGAAACCCACACTCCAGCATAACTCATTCGTTGGCTCTGGACCCCACCTTTGAGCAGTCCCACGGCGGCCTCGGTGGAAACGCAGAGCGAGTCGGTGGCCGCCACCACCTGGAGCAGCGCCCCGAAGTGGTCCACCATCTGCGACCGGCAGGTGGAGCAGATGTGGAGAAGCGACGAAGCCGCCACGCTCGCCAGGCGCCGCTCCTGGAGCGCCTGGAGCAGGAAGCTCAGCACCAGGTCTGCGTCGAGCAAGGCGTCGAGAGAGACTCGTCAAGAGACCGGTGGGTCATGGGCTGCAGGCAATATCGCAACTCCGCGGACGCCAAAAGGAGCCAGCATTTAATTTTGGACGGAACAGTGCGACCGTAAAACACACCCTCGCGCTACAAAGGCGGGTTCACACATCTGCATTTGAGTGTAACCGAGTACATCATGACAGTTTGTTACCACTCACTATGAGAGAACAAACCGGCGCACTTTTGATCTGCGAACGTTTCCCAATTTCTTTTAACGCACCATTCATTCGTCGTGGGCTCGAAATATTCCTCACATGTTAAAAGTAGGGTTCTGCGTTTTTTGGCTCTATTTTTTGACAAATTCGGGGGTGTTCTTCGGGGTTAATTTTTCCCACAGGTTCGGCGTTATTGGGCGCCAATTTTTGGTTTCAGACGAAACATTGGGGTTTGTCGGCGGCTCGTGTTGAAGAAAATGGGGCACGCGCATGTGAAATTCCCCAACCTCCAACGAACGTACGTGTTACCTGAACACTAGAAAAACGTCCCCGTACCTATAAGAGAAGGTAACCAAAAAAGGAGTTGAGGTTTTAAAGAAAGAAGCACCCTCGTGGATAGTTCGGCGGGGGCGGCGTCCTGGGTCAACGAAAAACGAAGCTGTAGACGAACGTTCCTTCCCGCGAAGCTTGGGTCCTTCTCTCTTGAGTATGGCTCTAATACAAGGTTTTCCCGTTTTCCCCGATTCTGAAGAAACCGGCTTGGGGGGTTAATTTTTTGTGGTTTATCAGCACCTACCACAAACACGAAGCCCTAGTTACGAGCGATCGCTTCTCACAGAATGTGCAAAGATTTGATCGTGCAAATACAGCAAAATCTTCCAGGGCCGCTCTCTTGGCGCAAGTGGTCGCAAGCGCTTCCAAGGCATCTGGTCACCCTTTAATGTAACTATCTGAAGCAGCCTTAATGCTTCGACACTAAAAAGTTTCCTACAAATAAATAAATAAAGTAATTTATCCGCTTCAACCCTTAAGCAGGAGACATATGAGCGGTGAAGCTGGGCGCCGCACGTCGCTCCGTATGATGCACCACCTGGCAATAAGCGGCAATATTTGTGGATTCAAAACACATGTACACAAAAGCCCGTCGAGTAACACATGTAGTTGCTGGGCCACCACTGGCACCGGACATAGAGCGATCGGCAGTACTTCGCTTTAAAACACACTATTTATGCCCAAAAAAGGCATTCAGATTAAAAATAAAACAAAATAATACTGGCACCTTAATTTTTGTGCTACCATTATATCACTATTAAAGTAATAATGTCAAAGAAAACATTACCGCAAACGGTATGTTCACAACACTAGCAACACCGTGTCTGCTTTCCTTTTCTACCCGATCAAGCTGAACTTAAAAAAAAATATTGAAATCGTTCCAACGAATAATTTTGTAGACTTTATAAACATGCGTTCACAAATTCAAATGCAACGTGTCCAACTTCACTGAGACAACTGGAGACATGTCACTCCAAAAGAAAACATATCACAGAACGTATATGAACCCGTTAACGCCTCTAGAAAGGCGTTCAGGGGTCCGAAGAGGCCCAGATTGAACAGAAAAGGATAGCACAAATTGCTCGTATGAGACGCGACCAGTTTTCAGGAGACGCTTGAGCGCTTTCGTTCGAAAGTACACGGAGATGCTTTGTTCACTACGCCAAGGATGTCACACTGAATGCAATAATTATTGGGGGTTATGACCATGACGTTAAAATGAGCCGTGACAAAGTGCTATCCCCGGGCATCAAAAAAACAGTATTCACGAGAGTAAATGCCTACCAACGCAGTCCAAAATACTAACCCAGCAGAGAAATTCCGAAACACACAACACGTTTCTTTGTCTCCCGGCGTCATCGGATGGCTGGCTCGACGAACCTAACGACGCCAAGGGTCCTTCCGGTACAAAATGCACCGTCTCGGCATCCTTTCAACGCCCCTGGGCCCGTTTGCTCGAAGCCGGTTAACTCTAACCGCGGTTAAAAGTTAACCACCCTTCCCTGCTAGGTACCTAAAAGTACCTAGCCAAGTTTCACGAGGGCTGGATGAGCGATAGCTCCGTGTTTTATTATGGGGCGGTGGCTGGTGTCACCTACTCGCTGTAGCGAATATAAGTGGCTTCCGTGGAAAGGTTTCCGAAATGGGGGGACCCACAAAATGCGCGCTGCTTGGTTTTCGCGACGCAGCGCGGCATACATTTGAGCTTAAGAAACAATTTTTATTGCTCTTGGTACAAATAATCGGTAAATCTTCTAATATTTGGCTTATGAAGTGAAGAAAAGCCTCGTTGAAATTTCCTTCCGAGTTTGAAAGAGGACGACGAAGTTGAGTCCTAGAAACGATGAGAAAGAAGTGAGCAGTGAAAGGCGGGCGGTACACCGGCAGCATGGTTGGCCAGCATGTAAGAACTCAAAATGAAAAACCTGTAACTCGGCTCCACTGAAAATTGACCTATTAAATTACCCGAACATCGAGAAGAACGCTGGAAGTGTAATTCTACGATCCGAGCGCGCTGGCCTTCCACTTATAAAAGATTTAAAGTAAATAATCATAATAAATCTTTGACGAACGCCCGTGCACGGCAAAATTTGTTTTAGGCTTTTTGCTTCAGAACAGTTATTACTGCAGACGCCAGCAGGTGCAGCGCGTGTAACTACACTCGTAGCATGCACCTAGGTGCTTTTGAAATTTAGCAAGAGGTCTATGGGAACGCTCTATGCTTCTGCATGCTATCAATACCCGGCCGATTGAGTCAAGGCAATCCACTTTCCAAAGACGTTGCCATGCCGACAACTATCGCGTTCATTTAGGCTTAGGAATGGTCAGAGTCGAAAGTCTATCTAAAAAACGCGGCGAGGTCATTGCTCATGTTTTGCGTTTAAAGTGAGGTAATGCAACGCGCAAACCTCCTGCACCATTCATTGCTGACTAACACGCCTGCTACTGCAGCTACTACGAAGTATTAGTTCCAAAACGAGCGGAGCTCACTCACCGGGGCTCCGCCATGTTTCCCCGCCGTCCTTACTTTACCGGTCACGTGACCCAAAATTCCCCGTCGTAGGGAAATCCGGTTAACCGCGGTTAGTTAACCAGCTTCGAGCAAACGGGCCCTGGTGTTAGCTCCTTCATCGGCTGTGGCAATAACATTCTGGCAAACAAATTCCCCACCTTGAACTCAAACTACCAACACCAAACCGATCTCGCTCACAGTCATACCGCCACCTCTCGTCACCGTCGTAGTTGCTCATAAAGATCTGCCTGTTGCTGGTTGAGACGGTGATTTCACAACACCTTCCGTGTCACCCCTTGAGCCGCACACAGCGCCAAACCCAAACCAAACCGACCAAACAAACAATCGTCATATTTGCTTCTCTGCCGCTCGGCGCTAAGGTGCAACGGGCGTACCGCACGCAAATATATTGGAGCGGTGCCTTGCCGCGAGGCGCATACGTCACAGTGACGTGGGAACGCCAGCACCGTTGCTATGAATACTGCCGCACGCTGCTGCACGGCGCCCATTTTCATCGCTCATGTGTCCCTCCCTTGCTTTAGGCAAAGCAGGCGACTTCACACGTCTATTGCGAGCCAGGGGCCAAAGAAACTCGAAAGCTTTGCTCGACGACGAGGGTCCATGCTCTTATGCACAAAGACGTGGTATCCGCAGGACGGCGCTTTGCCTCGGAGTCACAGAAGCAAGAAGCGAGGGGAGGGCACGACTCACTCAAGTAACTGGGGTGCTTCTCGATCCACTCGCACAGCTCCCCGAGCAGCTGGATACTGGTGTGCCTGACGGCCAGGTGGGACTCTGGTGGGAGCTTGAGGATGGCCTCCACCACCTCGGGGACCATGGCGTTCTCTTCCCTGCACCAGACACTGCTTTCCTCCACTTTCTTCCCGCACGGGCGGCAAACACGCACGGGCCACGTGCGAGAGGTTCGAGTGTGGGTGTTCAAGGAGTGCCAGTGTGTGCAAACTTCAAGTGTGACCTTCGACTGAGAAGTGGTACTACGGCGTTTTTTTCGTGGCCTCCAGTTTGCCCAAAAATTTCCTAAACGTACCAACAGACATCACTGCAATAACATCCCAAATATTAGGCCAAAATATTTTTTTTTCATGTAGTTATTGAATTTACAATTTTGGTACTCAAAGTGTTTTTCGAACTGAAAGTCGCTACTGGCAAAAATGAAAAAGTGACACACCAGAGGGGGGCGCGGCCAGTGATGTCCAGGGGGCGCGGCCAGTGACGTCACGGACGTCCAGATTCTATTTGGTGTTCTTTGATGTAAACACGTTTTATTTTGGATGCCACCGACTGCATTTTGAAACGTCGGTCGGTTGGCGAGTGTGTGCGCGTAGTTGGGTGCTCGGCGGCTCGGCGGTGTACTCGCTGGTGTGTGTCGACGTGCCGCCTGTGCTCGTCGCGTATCCAGAAACAGTGTTTTCCAATTTCGTTCGCCCGGCGCCGTCAATCACTCCTGTTGCAAAAGAAGATTCGTAGTGACTACAGATACCGTCCGAAGGCACTTTTGCAGAGCGTTCAAGTGCCGTTCGACGGTACTCCACCGACGGTACTCCGCGTTAAGTGCCGTCCGAAAGTCTCGTATAAAACTAATTGTGATATCCGAAGCTGTAGCGTGGCTTAGCGGTTAAAATGTCTGCCTCATACGCAAGCGGTCGTGGGTTCAATCTGCAGTGAAGGCTTACTTTTTTTTTTTTTTTTTTTCAAACAATTTGTCTTTCAGCGATATTTACGACATTTCTTTTTTGCGACTACCACTGAAAAAAAATAAAAAGAATGCTGTCGACGACAGCGCTAAAAGCATGAGCTAGTTGCTTTGGATCGCGCAGCACGAGCGCTCCTGCAGCAGGTGCAGTCATGCCAGTCAAGGCTACTCGCTCGCCGCTTGCACTGCCTTCGCAGCTATTCTATGCAAAAGTGATAATCCGTCGTATTGCACACAAGTACAGCTCCAGAAAAATGCCCACAAAATTACTGCGGCCGGGCTCTGTCACCTCTGGTACACGTAATCTTCATTTGCAACAGGAGTGACGGACGGCACCGGGCAAGGTTTGAAAATGGAGAACGCTTATTTTGGATGTTTCTGAGAACGCGACGAGTACAGGCGGCAACGTTGACAACACGCACCAGCGCGGACACCGCCGAGCCACCGAGCACCCGGCCACACACACGCCGACCGACCGACATTTCAAAATGCAGTCAGCGGCATCTTAAGAAAACGTGTTGTTGATGTCAAAATAACTAAAACATCAAAATAAAAACTGTTATTTTGACATCCGTGACGTCATTGGCCCGCACCCTGGATACCAAATCAGTGCCAAAAATATGCAGCCGAGGCAGGCAGGGTTCCACTCTAGAGACTAGAGGATTTGTTCCCAACTGATTACGAGCAGTTTAATGGTGTCAAATGAATGCTTTGGAAGCTCGTTCCAGCACCTGCGCAGCGGCACGAAACAAATGCTCAGCAAAGTCAATTTTTTAGACAACCTGCTCGATTGGCAAGACTGGCTGCCACTGATGTTACGACACTGAGAAGCGCGGGTATATTTGAATGATATTTTTGGCATCATGTCCACTTGCCGATTACGCAGTAGGTATTCTGAATTTTGCGAAACTGAATGGTGCACTAGAAAGGGGAAAGGCCTGTGATTCAGAAAATATGGTTTGTGGGGCTAGCTCGAAAAGTCGTTGGAGTACCCCTTTAAAGCGAGAGTTCTGATTGTAGTTTTGAGTACGGGTTCAGATTGCGGAGTTTGGTGCATGTGTTTAAGGAATGTCTGTGAGCTCTGAATATGCTTTTGAGTGTGAGTGCCTGGGGAGTGTGTTTGCATGTCTGCATTTGTTTTGAGTGAGTTTTGACTGTGGTTTTGAATGGGAACGTTTGAGAAGTGTCGCCTGTATACTTCAAGCATGAATATTTGAGGAGTGTGTATGTTTGCCTTCGGCATGAGTTTTGACTGTGGTCTAAAGGTAAGTGTGCGTTTTCAGTGTAAATGATTGAGTATAAGTTTGGACTGTTTTCAGTGTGATAGGTTGAGGAGCGTGCATGTGCGTATTTTGAGCGCAAGTTTCAACTGTAGTTTTGAGGGTGAGTGTCTGAGAAGTGTGCTTGTATTTTGAACGTAGGTGTGAGTGTATAAGAAATGTACTTGTGTTTTGAGTGCAGGTGCGAGTGCCCGAGGTGACGAGGGCACAAAGCAATTTGCTTCGTCAAGCACCAAGAAAAATGGGAGACCAGCTGCCTTGCATCTTTGTATTACGAAAAGACAAAATATTTGTTAGACTAACATGGTTACAGAAAGAGAGAAGAGAGCAAACACGATACGCCCACAAATGAACATCATATTTAATCTGTGCTGCTTGCAGTCATGACAAAGTCTGCCTATACCTGGTCTGCCTTCTGAGTCTGCCACAGGCCTGTTGAATGGTATTTTTCATATCTAACACAACCTGGCTCAAGCCAGCGCTAACAACCATCAGCAGTCTTTCCCTTAATACCACCTATCAACTATCTGCCGGAGGAGGAGAAAGGTCAGAAGATCCTTATCCCCCTCCCCTACCCCTTAATTTCCTGCAACACAACTGAGACTCCCAAAACCATTAAAAGACCAGAGTCCACTTACGGCAGGATGTTCTTGGCAATGGCGGCCATCGCAAACAGCGTCGCCTCCGTCACCTCCCATGTGCACGACGGACCTTTCAGGTTTGAAAACATCTGGAACAAACCAATGCAGTGTCAGCACGAGGGCAAAACAGTTTGCTTTCGAGAATCCGAAGTGGAAGAGAATATTCAAGTGCATTGCGACCGGCTACAGATATTGGCAGTCCTGGCGCAGCAATCTAGGCATTCTCTTCTAAACAGCAGGTGCCGCAGAAAACCGACGCATATATTCCTGCAAGCGTCACAATCAGACAAGCGCTGCAGCTGCAAAGTTCTACAACAAAAAATATAGGAACAACGAAATTTTCAGCGTGCAGAGTACGCAACTGCAGCATTACAGCATGTTCCGTCGAGTTGCAACTGATTCTGCCTGACAAAGAAAATTAGTCATAATTAAGCTTTACCATAGGAATAACTTATAGTCAAGTCAAGGTACTTAATCTCAAAGTCAACAACCAAATATTCGGTACAAAGAACAAATTGAAGTGCGAGAAGCATACCTCGGCAAACCTCACTCATGTGGGCCCTCACTCACCCTCACTCACCCTCACAGGTGAGGTGAGGATGAGTGAGTTTCTGAACCAGGAAAATTCATGAGTGTGAGGGTGAGTGAGGGCCGTGAGGGCTGCGAGGGCTGTGAGGGCGGTGAGGGCGGTGAGGGCGGTGAGGGCGGTGAGGGCGGTGAGGGCGGTGAGGGCGGTGAGGGCGGTGAGGGCGGTGAGTGGCATGAGGGCTATGAGTGCGTGAGGGCCGTGAGGGCGGTGAGGGTGGTGAGGGCGGTGAGGGCGGTGAGGGCAATGAGGGCCATGAGGGCGGTGAGTGCGTGAGGCCCCCTTCAGATCGAGCATCTTTCTCAGCAATTTTGGTGTTAATGGCGGGTTGTTCTCCAGCTTTCCCTAGATCGACACGAATTGCTGAGATCGGGTCCGGCTCGAAATAAGCAAGCAACTCGGAGCAATTCGAATACCTTTGAAGCGGCTGCATCCAATCAGGGACGCAAAATTTTCACGTGATACCTCGTGCCGGTGATTATGACACCGAAAGACTTGGTTCTGGTTTGAAATCAATCGTTTTTTGGAAATAAACTGTTTCAGAAAGGTGCATTAGCATTCTTAACGAGGTTTAAATGCATAAAAACATGTTTATAACGCGTAATTGTGTCTAAATAGTGCAAGAAAAATAAAATTTTATGATGACGATGGCAAATTGCAGCAATTGGTTGCTGCGTGCGATCGCGGGCGGCCCGTGTTGCTGGTGTTGCGACGTCAAGTTTCTGGGCGAAATCGCCCCATCTGAAGCTGGCCTGAGTGGCGTGAGGGTCATGAGTGCGTGAAGGGCGTGAGGGGTGTGAGTGCCGCAAGGGCGGTGAGGGGCGTGAGGGCGGTGAGTGGCGTGAGGGCGGTGAGTGGCGTGAGGGCGGTGAGTGGCGTGAGGGCGGTGAGTGGCGTGAGGGCGGTGAGGGCGGTGAGGGCGGTGAGGGCGGTGAGGGCGGTGAGTGGCGTGAGGGCCGTGAGGGCGGTGAGGGCGGTGAGGGCGGTGAGGGCGGTGAGGGCTGTGAGGGCCGTGAGTGGCGTGAGGGTGGTGAGTGAGTGAGGGGCGTGAGGGCCGTGAGGGCGGTGAGGGCGGTGAGGGGCGTGAAGGCCGTGAGGTTCAGTGGGGGTGAGTGAAGGGCTGAAGGTGAGTGTGAGTGTGAGGGTGAGTGAGGGGCTGAAGGTGAGTGTAGCTGTGAGGGTGAGTGAGGGGCTTAGGTGAGTGTGGCTGTGAGGGTGAGGGTGAGTGAGGGCGACCTAAAATGCCGACCTCTGGCGAGAAGTGTTCCACTTGCCTGCCTGAAGCAGTTGGAGGAGCCAACGAGGAAGACAACATCCTTGATGAGGTCCGAGACGCGATTCCTGAAGTCTCCAAAGTCGTCCTGGTCGCTCGGAACTCCTTCCTGAAATCACAACAAGCGCTCCAAATCCTGATCCGAAACATTATTTAATCCTAATTCCCCAGATTCTATACATGCTCACAAGGTGACCTTCACTGCCTTTCAGCATACTGAACAAAGCGGTCAAAAGTTTTTAAGTGCCAGGTATGAAAGCAAATCCGACGGCTCAATGCGCAACAAGGTTCAGGAACATGCGCATGTTTGCTAAATTATGTTTGCTAAATTAGCAAATATGCGCAGGTTCCTGTGAGAACGCCCGACACTCCACCAGAAAACAAAGCTCGCAATATGCACCGAGGTTTCGAACGCCATCTGTTACTCATCCAACAACAAAAAAAAAAAACGCTTGGGCTTTAGAGAGAAAATTATTTCCCAAGCTCCGCACATCTCTTAACATGTGCCTTCGCAACAAAGATTTCGAAAAAAAAGTGCTTGTTTCAATTTGCGAACCGGGGAGACCAGTCCAAAGGACAAATAAGACAGAAAAGCCCACCTTGTCGGGATCCAGCTGGCAGTGACGACAGAGAGCAACGATGAGGAGCTGGATGTAACGTTCGAACAGTCCATTCAGCGCCTCATTGTTCTCCTTGTAGAGCACCTCCGACATGCGGTACCATAGGTTGAATGTGATCTCGGCCACCTGCACATTCCAAATGACGTTAAGCGTTCGTCCGAATTCCGCAGGAAGAGCTTCAAATCCTGGAAAAGTCCTGCCGTGCAAAACAAATCCTGGACGGTCGTGTTTAGCGCCCTGCCTCACGCAATTAACCAAAGTGGTCCTGCACTGGAAACAAGATTGCACGGCAAATTGCCCCGCAATTGTGTTGTTAGGCGAAACGTTCTTGGTTTAGCGCTAGTAAACTCCAGTCATATCTTCTCAGGCTGTACCTCCAGGTGTCGCCACTCCTCTCCACCTCATTGACTTCCTCCGTCGGGTTGGCCCGCGCCCGCACAGTGTGGGGAATCACGAGCTGCGGCAGGTCACGTGTCAATTTTTCCGCTAAATTTAGCAGATAGACTGAATTTATGTGTAGGTCACGTGACGTCAATTTTTCCGCTAAATTTAGCGGGAAGCTGAATTTGTGTATAGGTCACATGACACTAAGTAATGTGGCGTCGTTTTCTCCGCTAAATTTAGCGGGGAAACTGAATTGGCGTCGAGGTCGCGTCAATTTTCACATTAAAATTAGCAGGGAAAGTGAAATCGCACGGCATCAGGGGCCACGGCTTAACAAAATGCGGCTCAACGAATTCTGTAGCAACTAGCCAAAGAACGCTCACATCGAAGCTGCATCGCGGGAGCCAGTGGGTCGTGCCGTAGGCATCACAATCGCAGCGACCGGTCATAGAAGTGCCGGCAAAAAAGGCAAGCAGATGCAGGGGTTGCTGTCGCCGCGCCGTCCCAACTTTCGTCTGCTAAAGCTTCGACGAAACACTCAACTGCGGAACAACCTACAGTAAAACGGGCATCTGCCCGTTTTACTCTACGTCACTGCTGTGACAACGCCAGGATAGCAGACAGCGACAGCGTGACAGCTCTATGACATCGTCGTGTGCAAATCGAGGGACCACATTTAGTGGCACGATAACGCGCCGCCAGAGGCACGTTCCCGACATCGCGTTTTCACTTGAGTCGGCGAGAGATTACCTCGTAGTCGTAATGGCCGACGCAGGTCAGCAGCAGGTCGAGAGTTCGGAAGTCTCCAAGACCCTGCAAAAAAAGGGATGAATGAGGGTGTCACGAAATCTCCAAAGTCGGACCAGTTTCGAGGTCTGACGGGTTTCGTGGAGCGCCAACGGAATGCGAAGGAATGCGCTCTTGACGCTGCTGGCTGTACCGAGTGGCTAGCGGTTCTTTACAGGCTGTCAAATACGGAGACAAGTTCCCGGTAAAGGAATTTCGGTCCATTTACGCCGGGCTATATATTTGACTAGAGTCCCTGGATGTTCCCAGAGTACCAAAACTTCCAAGCTTCGCTTGAACTGAGTTGCAGCGTAGCAGTCGCGGGGCAGCTGTCGCAATCCCCAACATGGCGCTGCCTCGTGTGGTCGAAGAGAAAAGCGTACACTGTGGCGTTCTTTCTCATTAAGCTCTTCAATCCATGTTTTGAGCTCTTGGCAACGCTGGTTTGTTTTTATTAAAGTTCTTTTCTTCGTTCCAAGCAAAATGCTTGGAACGAAGCATTTTGCTTGGAAGCATGGAGCAAGCCAGCGGTGCATGACTTGCTCCTTGCTGTCTCATCTCTTTCTCTCGCCTCAAAACACATTGAAGTCAAATGTTAGGCTTAGCGTCGGAGGCGTAGAGTTTGAGACGCAGCACCAGCGCAACGGGAGGAAGTAAAAGAGCTGGCAATCTTCTTTAGTGAACCAGATCAGTGGCTACTGGATATAAAAAAATCTAAAGAAAATCAACGCACCTTTCGTTTGGTCCCAACTGATCAATGCCCAGGGCTCTTACCCATGCATACCCGCCATAGCTGAGGTAATGCGGAAAAGTTTTATATACTTTATTTGTTGTTTTGTGCCGATCCACAAATTGGCCGACTAATTACTTCCGCCATAGGCTAAATCAGCCAATCAGAACTGGATTCTGTGAGATTAGCTTCCGGTAAGTGGACTGAATGTAATTCCGTACTCTTGGAACATTCAGTGACTCTAGATGCGACGGGAAAACCACCCGCACCAAACTCGGCGGGAAGAGTAAAATAGCTTTGGCGGCGCTCCAGATTGTGTATGAAACAAAGTATAGTTGTCCTTCCCGGTGTCCACACACTTTCTGATGTCACACACTCACCTGGCCTGGGTGACGAATTATCTCTTCGAGGAGTGACTCGGCAAGCTCAGTGAAAATCCTACAGTAGTTGACAGACCTGTAGACCAAAAGGTAAGAACGACGGTGAACTTTTTAAGAAAACCTTTTCATACGCTCACCTTCGAAAAGTAATCAACAATACTACTAGTATAAACCTGGCACAACACCAATACCGTGCATCATAAACAGATTGTTGTTTGCTGAGCTACATACGGGCATGAAACTACACGGCTTTTCCGTCCAATGTTGGACTCGAGTGAGCTAACGGATCATATTATACGCCGAAGGGAAACTGAGCAAACAAACACGGTGAACGTTACTGCCACCTTTACGAATACCCACACTTAATAAAATTCTCATGAATTTCATTCAGCAAGATCAAAAAGTGCTCTCAACCACCAATAACATTCATTCTGCCAACCAATAACTTCCAATGACAATAACAAGCCCTACACCATTAGATGCCCAACTGCATTCGTGCTGCATTACTTAACTGCATGCCAGCCTTCACAAACACATCAAGTATAGTGTACCACAAAGCAACGCAAGTTCACCGATCTTTGGACTCTATTTGCTGCCGGTAGTCCACCTTCACGAGAATAACCCAATCTTCCCGTGACCAGTTTTCATACGGTGTCGTCGTTGCCTCTGCTGTAAAGCAGTTTCAAACAGTTTTTTAATCTATCTTAGGCCTTCAAACCATTACTCACAAAATTATAAATTTCTGTCTAAGGTGCTTTGGCGTGGACAACAGGCAAGGCAAAACTTAAGCATTGTGCACAGCTAATATGCAAAACTTTCCAAGAAGAGTCGTCCTCGTAGAGTTCCCGCAGCCTAGAGGTGACTTGGCAAAGCACCTGGTCAACAGGTGCCGGTTCACACATGCACCTCAGTGCTCGGGTAACATAAAAGTCAGCACTGTGAAAATAGCGCTAGGCTAACGCTGTGCTGTACACGTGACGAGGCTTTTATGCGCCGAGAAACGGAGGGAGAGGAGCAGACGGAAGTGCACGGGGACGTCGGAATGCCGAGCTCTGGTTTAAATGATTAGTGGGCGGACCTAAAGCTATACCCGCTTTCACCTCTAAGAACCGTAGTAAAAAAAAGTCCGGCTTCTCGCGCAGCATTGCTGATCTCCCCCCTTATGTAGAGATTTAAGATATATGTAGGTGAATTGTAGATTAGATATATATTAAGACAAACACGTTCCAAACGCCAAAAGCATCACTTTTTCCTCCGACAACCAAATCTCGTAAGGACTACTTCGCACCGCGTATGAACGATGCGCAAAACTTGCTTTTTTTCTTGAGGTGAAAACGGGTATAGTAGCCTTTGCCTCCACTGCACTCGTCAAACATGTTAAGATGTAAAACATCGACGTCAGGCATTCGGCTCTCACATTTGAACGCAATCGACGGGTGCAGTAGACACGGAGGCAGCTACTTCTAGGCTTACCCCACTAACCATTCGAACCAGAGCTTGGCCTTCTGACGTCCCCATGCGCTTCCGTCTCCTCCCTTCTCAGTTTCTCGGCGAATTGTGGAGATTGAAGACAGTTACCTGTCCTGATCTTCCTGGGCCACCGACATGTGGTACGCATTCTCGAGGGAGTAGACCCCCAGCACCAGGACTTGAGCCAGCGGGGCAGGCTTGGACGTCTCCTGAGTTGCGACGCAAAAGCACAGAAACGTCCAAAACTACCCACTCGTTCCTGCTTTGCAACTAAAGAGACGCCACTGTTTGGATTGTGTTTTGTTATTCTAAATCGGGAAATCTCAAACCGAGTTCCTAGGAACCCAAAGGCTCTTTAGAGCGGGCATTCTCAAACTCTCCAATTTCAAGGAACCCCTGCCTGCCTCGAATGCCAGTAGAAGAATCTCTCCTGGTCTTGGCACTTGGTGCAGCAGAAAGGTATAGGAGACTACAGACCTTGTAAACAATAATGCTGATAATAGGGAACGTTAGGCTTATAGTTTGGGGATCAATGAATGGCTCAGATCTGGTAAGAAAAGTGCTTGAACTCGCAGAACACCTCACTTGGGGGACAGAGATGGTCGAGGAGGAAATTGGGAGGCTCGGGAAACCCAGGTTTCCTAGGAACTTGGTTTGAGAATCCATGATCTAGGGCAGTGGTTCTCCAATGGGGGTCCACAAAGGCATTCTAGGGGTCTGCGAAGCACTGCCTCATCGGTCAAGCCCGGCAATAAAATTTGTCTTTTCTCAGGTTGAGAAGAAATGTCTCAGTTTTCAGGCGAGTTTTCTCAAGTGTATGTCAATAAGGGTGGTTTACTTCAAACTAGCCCTTAGTTATATCCATTTAATAAATCATTATTACATTTAACCTATACATTCCCCCTCCACTAATCCACAAGGTGCCCGCGAAACATCGAAGGTTGAGAACCACTGATGTATGGAGCAACTCGTCGGCAACCCTGAAACTGCTGGAAACATGGCCCCGTCTGAAACGGGCGAAAGCATTGTACGCCCGCAAACGGACAATATCAGAAATGTAAGTGCCAGAGGATTCCTGCTCACCCCTATAAGTAAGAGGGCATTGCAGATGCAGTCAGATGCAGCCTCGTGCACCGAAGATGAAGACGACGTATTTGTCTGTAAATAACATTCGCAATCAGTCGTCTGGAATAAACAAACATTTACGGATCAAAGGGCCATACAGTAGATAGGCTAGTAAGAACAAAGAACACAATAGGAAAACAAAAAATTTACAGGTATATAAGGACAAGTCCTATCTGTAATAGGAAATATACAGTACTTGGTAGACACAAACACAAAGCTAGTCCCTTACGTTCATCTGTCTTTAAAAAGAAGCAAAACCTCGATATGCAAACTTGGTTGGACTAACATTAAATAAAAATCTTCAGCCTTTCCACTTTGGTGAAGAAGGAAGACCAGCGAAGCTGTACTATGGTGGGAATTAAGTAATGGCCGGCTGCAAGTCGGCAAGCCAGAGTGGAAAGGCTGGAGAGGCAACCAGACAACCGACAAGCCAGTTGCCTGGTTGCCGCCATTGCTCGTAGACGGCGGTAGCTGTTCAGAGTTTAGTGTCCTCATTCGTCTGCTAACGGACACGATACTGGGGAAACTAGCTCTTAACAGCTCCGCTGTAAGATGACCAAGCCAAAATAAGCTAGAACCTCATTTCTGGAGGGCCACCAGCCAGTGCTCGGAGATTCCCACTACTGAAACAGAGCCAAACTGTTTGTTAGCATGCAGTACTGGTACAACTTGAAGAGGAACCCCAGCACAACCACAAAAGGACATTTTTTCCGGAGTAGGCTATGCCATAGACTCTTTTCAAAAATCAGTGCCATCTGGTGGCTCAAAAAGCAGTTTCACTTTCGACGAACTAATGGAGCTCATGAAACTGTATTTCATCGAGAACCGTCACTTTCGCACGTCAATGGCAGATAAGAATTGGTTTGTCAATCACTTTATAATTCTTTCTTGATTTGAATGTTTGGGTAGTGTGAAAATAAAAACTGGCCAGAAAAAAGCCGCTCGATTAGACTTCCTCAATCAAAAGGCTTTAGCGCCATCCTTGTGCCAAGAGATTGATTGGCACAAGTATCCAATACTTATCCATCTTCTCCAATACGTACATCGTGTTGTGCTGTTATTTTGAACCTACAGGCCTCACATATCCGCCACTTGGTAAGAATTTCCTCCATCGACCTCAAGAACGCTGCCGTTAGTTTGGCACAGATGACATACAGTGCAATCCACTTATAACAATACTAGATGTAGCGATCTATTGCTTACAACAATCAGTTTCTAGACTAGAAACGCTCAGTATTTAGTCCATATACAGTCTAAGCTTGTTATAACAGACCTTGATTTTGACCAAGATTTCGGTCTGTTGTAGAAGGAGTATGTTGTATGCAGATATGAAGTTGAGTCAATGGTGCATAGAGGAAAACCAACCGAACCTCACAAATCAATATGTTATATCCAAATGTCTGTTCTAATCAGGTCTGTTATAATAAGTTTAGACTGTACAACAATAATCGGTTATGACGACTGAATTTCGGGGTTTTCTCATTATATTGTTATAAGTGGATTGCACTGTACTGTCGTGCATTGCCATGCACGATAGTGATCAAAGTTGCCAGACTGAATTTCGAAAAGGGTCTATTCCGCGTCAGTTATTTTGACGTGCCCAAAATCCCGCTCGGGTCAGCACTTCCCCCATGAATGGATGCCTCGACCCTCGTGCAATGCGACGCACACAGTGGCCCACTTACCAAGGCCTCGAAGACGGCACCCAGCAGCTTGTGGAGGTTGGGGTCGTCCAGCTGCAGGGCCCCCACCGAGAACCAGCTGCCCAGGCAGCGGAACACCCGTGCCCTCCGCTTGCCGTCGTTGTCCGTGCCCGACTGCAGGCAGGCATCCTGCGCACGCACCGCGAGTGACCGTCAAAACGACGCTGAAGTTTCCCCGAAAAATATATTCTTAATCCGTTAGCGTTTATTGCCCCAGCGGACTGGTTTCGCGAGGCCATGCTACAGTTCCCGCCACACTCTCTCGCTCCGTTTGTTCCCTCGTGACGTCCACTTTCCCTCTTACGTAAGAGGGAAAGAGTCTTCTCGCACGCTTCCAATGACGCGCCGCTCATGACACGCATTTCTCTTACGATGGCACCGAAACGTAGGCACAGGGTTTCTCCCTTCCCCAGAATGCACAACGTAAGTGACCACGTAAAACCGAGGTAAACGGGTGGCGACCAAAGGAACACTAAATAAACAGAAAGAAAGAAACGTTTAATGTGGCGAACTTGTGCCAAAACAAAAAGAGAATAGAAAATAATAACAAAGCGTCGCGAGCGTCGAGGTCGGCGAGACAGCAGAGTCGAGCGCTGGGGCGAAACTGACTGCGGCTCGCCACGCGGAGCCCCTTATGTACATGCGTGGTCTTCTGGAATAATCGGCGAAGAAACTTCGACGCGCGGAACATTCGGGCCTGGAACAAGCAACATGATTCTCGAATTCTCCAGAACACTAAATTAGAGGAATAAACAAAAGACATGTCGCTCCAGGATTCGAACCCTAGCTTTTCGCGTGGGAGGCAGGCGCGATAATCATTAGGCCACGCGCGCGCTGCCTACTTGGCGAGCGCGCGCGGCATTACTGCCCCCTTTAAAAAGTGCATCGCCCCGATGCAGCACAAAACAAAAAGCAAACAAAAAGAACGGTAAACTAAAGAGTCATTTGGAATACGTAAGGTCCACTGTCCTATCGAGCGTAGTACGGCTTCATGCGCACGACGTGGACGACTTCTGGTCGTGGAGGGCGGCGTGATGAAGTCCGTGTTCCATCGGGCATCACCTCGTAGTTCAGATCACCGAGTCGACGAAGTACTTTGTAGGGTCCGAAGTAGCGCTTTAGGAGTTTCTCACTGAGACCACGGCGGCGGATCGGTGTCCACACCCACACCCTGTCTCCGGGCTGGAAGTGGATGTCCCGACGACGAAGGTTGTAGCGGCCAGCGTCGACACGTTGTTGGGCTTGAATACGGTGTCTGGCGAGCTGGCGGACTTCTTCTGCCCGTTGGGCAACCACCTGGGCGTCGTCGCTTCCGTCGAGAGCCGGTTCGTGGGGTAACATCGCGTCCAGCATTGTCGTTACCCTGCGCCCATGCACCAGTTGAAAGGGTGTCACTCCGGTGGTCTCTTGTACGGCCGTGTTGTAGGCAAAGGTGACGTACGGCAGCACCTCGTCCCATGTCTTGTGCTCCACGTCGACGTACATGGAAATCATGTCGGCGATGGTCTTGTTGAGTCTTTCCGTGAGCCCGTTGGTCTGCGGGTGGTACACCGTGGTGCGACGATGGCTGGTGTGGCTGAGACGCAGGATTTCTTGGGTCAGCTGTGCCATGAACGATGACCCTCGGTCTGTGATCAGGACTTCGGGGGCGCCATGCCGGAGGACGATGGACTCGATGAAAAACTTGGCGACTTCCACAGCAGTCCCTGAAGGGAGGGCTTTCGTTTCGGCGTACCGCGTGAGATAATCTGTGGCGACGATTATCCAGCGGTTTCCCGATGTTGACGGCGGAAAGGGGCCAAGTAGGTCCATTCCGATCTGCTGGAACGGTGCGGTCGGAGGAGCAATCGGCTGCAGGAGACCGGCCGGTTTCGTTGGCGGTTTCTTACGTCGCTGGCACTCGTGGCACGATCGGGTGTAGAGGTGGACGGCTTTGGGGAGCTTTGGCCAGTAATACTTTTCACGAATACGGGCCAGTGTTCGGCTGTAACCGAGGTGTCCCGACGTCGGGTCGTCGTGACATGCTTGAAAGATCTCCTCCCGAAGGTCGGTCGGGATTACCAGCAACCACGGTGTGCTGTTGTCGCCGAAGTTCTCTTTGTAGAGTACACCTTGTCGAATGGCGAAGGTCGGCAATACTCGTGAGAAGACACGTGGCACGGTACCCCCACCCCCTTCCAGGTGCTCGATTAATGCGCGCAGCTCAGGATCGTCCCGTTGACGTCGTGCCATGTCGTCGGCGTTTACAGCTCCTAGGAAGCTCTCGTCGTCATTGTCGTCGCTGCAGCCGGAAGGGGTTTCGACGGGGGCTCTGGACAAGCAGTCGGCGTCGCTGTGCTTCCGGCCGGACTTGTAGACCACTGTAATGTTAAACTCTTGTAGTCGGAGGCTCCATCGAGCAAGACGTCCTGACGGGTCCTTCAGGTTAGCAAGCCAGCAGAGCGAATGGTGGTCCGTGACTACACGGAACGGGCTCCCGTACAAGTACGGGCGGAACTTCGTGATTGCCCAGACGACCGCAAGGCATTCTTTTTCAGTCGTGGAGTAATTTCGCTCCGCCTTGGACAATGTCCGACTTGCGTATGCGATGACTCGCTCGGTGCCTTCTTGAACTTGAACCAGTACCGCGCCAAGTCCTGCGTTACTTGCGTCCGTGTGAATCTCGGTTTCCGCATCCTGGTCGAAATGTCCAAGAACAGGAGGCGTCTGCAGTCGTCGCTTCAGCTCGTCGAATGCCTGCTGCTGCTCCTCGGCCCATTCGAACTTCTCGGCGTCCTTCGTGAGGTTTGTGAGCGGTGCGGAAATCCTTGCGAAATCTCGAACGAAGCGCCGATAGTAGGCACATAGCCCAAGGAACCTTCGCACGGCCTTCTTGTCTCTTGGCACTGGAAATGCTGCGACCGCGCGAGTCTTCTCTGGGTCTGGACGAATGCCTTCGTTACTAACCACGTGACCTAAGAACTTCAGTTCGTCATAGGCGAACCGGCACTTTGACGGCTTGAGAGTGAGCCCGGCGGTCTGTATGGCATGGAGAACTGTGCGGAGTCGTCGCAAGTGCTCGCCGAAGTCAGCTGAAAATACTACGACGTCGTCCAGGTAGACGAGACAGCTCTGCCACTTCAGCCCTGCCAGTACGGTGTCCATGACACGCTGGAAAGTTGCTGGCGCCGTGCATAGTCCGAAGGGCATCACCTTGAACTCGTAGAGTCCATCCGGCGTGACGAAGGCTGTCTTCTCTCGGTCCCGTTCGTCGACCTCGATTTGCCAGTAGCCGCTCTTCAGGTCCATCGATGAAAAGTATCGAGAGTGGCGCAGCCGGTCTAGAGTGTCGTCGATGCGGGGCAGTGGGTAGACGTCTTTCTTCGTAACCGTGTTGAGCTGCCGGTAGTCCACGCAGAACCGAAGAGTTCCGTCCTTCTTCTTAACCAGCACGACTGGAGAGGCCCATGGACTGCTTGAAGGTTGGATTATGTCGTCATTCAGCATCTCTTGAACTTGCTGCTGGATCACCTCCCTTTCCTTCGCGGAGACTCTGTACGGTGATCGATGCACAGGGCGCGCGTCGTCCTCGGTAACGATGCGGTGCTTGGCAACCGCGGTCTGGCGCACCTTCGACGACGTCGCAAAGCAGTCGCGGTATTCGGCGAGGAGGTTAACCAGCTGACGTCGTTCAGGGTCCGGAAGCTTAGGGTCAATGTCGAGCTGCGCTGGCGACGTACTGTCTTGCTGGGACGGCGAGAATTCGTCAGTAATCGCGGTGATTTCGGCGGGGTTTCGGAGTTCCTCGACGTGGCCCACGGCTGCACCTTTCGTGAGGTGTTGCGTTTCGTTTCGGAAGTTCGTCACGAGGGCCACAGTCCGCCCATCCTGAAGTTCAGCTACTCCCCTTGCGACGCCTATGCCTCTTCCCAGGAGCAATTGGAGGTTTCCCTCGAGAAGAACTTCACCATAGGAAGCTTCATCGATCCCGACAAGTACGAAAACACTCGACCGCGGTGGTAGGTTTACGTGGTTTGCGAGGACTCGGACCGTGGGTGACGTCGCTTGGGGTTCCTCCGATGGTGGAGCAGGTTTTCGTAGCGTCAGCCGGTTTGTTCCGAGGTCGATGACGGCGCCATACTCGCAGAGAAAGTCCATTCCGAGGATAACGTCCCTCGAACAGTCTTGTAGAATGACGAACCTGACAGGGCACGTTTCACTGTGGATCTTGACGCGAGCAGTGCATCTCCCGACTGGTGTAATGAGATGTCCTCCGGCGGTTCGTATTTGGGGTCCTTCCCACGGCGTCATGACTTTTCGGAGGCGGCGGGAGAGCCTCCCACTCAAGACTGAGTAGTCTGCTCCGGTGTCCACGAGTGCCGATGCGTCGTGGCCGTCAATGACGACGTTTAGGTTGTTGGACACCGTTGCAGGGGCGTCGTAGCGATGCGTGGCGTCGGGGGAGTGGGAGCGCTCCGTCGTTCTTGGAGGCTCTTTACGTCGGTCGTCTTCGGCAACTCCACCTCCAGGGGTTGCCGCGCCTAGTTTCCCCGGCGAGGAGCGAGGGGTGACAGGCTTTCACGTCGGGGTCGGTGCATCGGCGAAGCTGGACGTCGCGGCGATGGCGACCGGAACTCTCGGCGGGACGCAGGCTCGGGGGACTGGGGTCGTCGCAGGTACTCGTCGATCTCCCGAGGACGTTCACCATACCGGGGGCGCGGGTCGTTTGGGTGGAACCCGCGCAGCCCGAGTCGTCGGTATGGGCATCGGCGGTACACATGGTCGGGTTCCCCGCAGTGGTAGCAGAGCGGGCGTCGGTCGGCCGTTCGCCACACGTCGGTCTTCCTCGACGAGGGTTGCTCCGGGCGGACGTCCTGGACTTGCCCTTCCTGGCGTCGAGGATACTGTGGCATCGGAGGGTCTCGTCGGGGTGGCGCCGTGGCCTGGCGGTTAGCTTGCGGCGGTCGTCGGGCAATGGCGGCGTAGCTCAAAGTCGGCTCCTCTGGCGTCGTCATGCTGATCGGAACCTCAGGTTGGAAGGCCCGATGAACTTCATCTCGCACGACCTCGGCGAGCGACAGGGAGGACGGGCGATCCATAGCGGGGAGCATCTTGCGGATTTCTTCCCGGACGACTTCACGGATGATGTC